ACCTGCACTGCTCTCCACTCCCTACCGAACTCCTGGACCGAACCACAAACCTGACAACAAAGCCATATCCCCTGCTAGAGTTCAGACTTACCAGCAGCAGGTGGGATGCCTGCTCTTTGCCTCTGTCACATGCAGGCCTGACCTTTCCTACATCGCAAGTCAGATGGACCAGTACTCACGCAAACCAACGGCTGAGAATCTTCTGGACCTGCAGCGCGCCCTACAGTTCTTCGTTTCAACGCCCAAGATTGGGCTGTGCTACTCAACTGCACCAACCCCATCCTTCAACCTCATCGGCTACGTGGACGCCGATCACGCAGCAGATGCCGACAATCGACGGTCAAGGACTGGCTTCCTGTTCCGACTCGAACCAACGGGACCAATCTCCTGGAACTCGCAGAAGCAGGAGCTGGTTGCCTTGTCGTCAGCCGAAGCGGAATTCATCGCAGCAACCACAGCAGTTCGCGAAGGCCTCTACTTGCAGGAACTCCTGCAGGAGGCGAAAATTCCAGCTTCGTCCACTTTTCGTCTTCACTGCGACAACCAGAGCGCGATTCGCATCGCGAACAAACCTGGTTTCGTCAACCGCACGAAGCACATTGCGCTGCGGTATTTCTTCGTGAAAGATGAAGTGGACAAAGGCAAGGTTAACTTGACCTACTGCCCGACTGGTGACATGGCAGCAGACTTTCTCACGAAGCTACTGCCACGCCAGCAATATCAGCATTGCTCCGAACACAGCGGAGTGGTCAAGCAGGTCAAGTCGAGCTGCGGCCAGGAGTGAAGGGGGGTGTTACGAATAGCAATGAATGAAGATTACAGTGCACTCCCGACCGCAGCTAAAGAAGCATGCAGTATCGAGAACGAATGTGAAGAGTCGGAATTGACTCGAAATGTCAGACGGTTGAGATGCATTTGGACCGTCGGAGCAGATGACATCGGGCAGCTGCAGGCAGAAGGATTCTGGCGGGAACATTTTCGTAACTGTACGCACCGCACGGTTGGGAATAAATTTGAATAAGGGAATGTACCCCTTAGAGTACATGGGTAGCTAGGTCGATCCGTATTCCCCTGCACTCTTATTTATATCGTTGTATTTGCATGTTTTCATTATCTCAGGCATTTTACATTCACTCTGCTATTGAGATCAAGGGCCCACCACTACTAGACTAGAAGTGTGCGAACCTTCCTGAGGTGATCCTAGTTACGATCTATTTCTGATCGCAGCACCTATTGAGTGGCCCAAGCACTCCATAGTGCACCGAGCCACGTGCCCTTTGGAACCGTGTATGCCCTTCAGTAGGCCCTTACCTTGTGCGCGGCCTTGGGCTCTCCACTCGTTTTGGGGCAAGCATTGGTCAAGTGGCCTCGTTTTCCAGAACAAAGCATGAGCCACAAAAACCCCTTTTGCTTCTGTCAAATAGGGGCCACTATTGTGTGGAGTAGCATGTGTATATATGGTAAGGGTTTTTGCCTTGTATGGTGTAGTCATCGGAATTCCACTTGGTTACTGTGGATCGAGGGAAAATATATCAATGGTAACTTACATGGGGCAATATAACGCGTATGGTAACGATTTCAACGCGTTTGGTAACTCGCTCAACGCGTTTGGTAACTCGCTTAATACGTTTGGTAACTCGCTTAACGCGTATGGTAACTATACACTAGCAGCCCATCACGCGAATGGTAACTAGAAGAAACCCTCCCCCAAAATGACCCTGATTCTGGTTTTTCCCGCTTGCGTCAGACTAAATTGGCAAATCTTGAAGCAGAAACCTCTTACAGACTCTCCGAGATTCTGACACAGTTTTCCGAAATTCTGACACACTTCCCGAAATTCTGACACACTTTCTGATCTTCAAGCTAATTGAAAAAACGTAAGTGTTGCAAAACAAATTGTTATACATACTGATATTCTAGCACTCTTTCCGCAAACTGTTTGTAATTAATTATATCGTGCAGCCGGGACAAACAAATCTATACCCCTTTCAGATGGTAAATGAATTTGAGAGCATCAACTCTAAACTCCTTGCGAAAAGGCGTTTATGGTTTTTTTTTAATGAAACCAGTAATTTTAAAGAGGTGTATTTTTCCCACACGAAAAAAATGGCCAACGTTGCAGTAATTACAAAAAGGTAAAAGCCCCGAGGTCCTTTCGCGGAATGTGTTTTTTTTTAATCATTTTGCAAGTTCGCAATCATGCTCTCAAAAATATGATTTTAACCGTTTTTGTACGAGCTATATACATATATATCAAACGGCTCTGAAACTTTTTGGTCCGTGGTAATAGAACAAACGGGGTCCTTCAAAGTCGCGGCGGGACTTGTTCAAGAAAGATAAAACCGTGCGTAAAAGCGTTCAAAATTGTTAAATTCCTCAATTTCAGGATCATTTTGACGGGAGTTTCATGTAGTTACCATTCGCGTGATCACTCGCCTGTGTTAAGTTACCATACGCGTTAAGCGAGTTACCAAACGCTTTAAGCGAGTTACTAAACGCGTTAAGCGAGTTACCAAACGCGTTGAAATCGTTACCATACGCGTTATAGTGCCCCATGTAAGTTACCATTGACATATTTTCCCGTGGATCAATCTTCCAGTTTCAACACCACCTGGGGCAGGTGGTCACCCTCAACAAACCACCTGGACCCCCAACGGGGCAGCCACTCGCATGAACTGTAACGGGATGCAACGCAAGGTCCCGCTTTCCACAACGCACACAACTTTCAATCAAACGTGGCATCACGCCGACAGTACCTCGGGACAGGCACACCCCGCCTTTTGGGATACCACATCACCAACCCAACCAGACCAACCTGGCAGAGATCGTCACGACGAGCCTGATTCGCACGCTCCCAGATAAAATTTGGTGGAGTCCGAGCCTATTTCTTCACCAATCGGAGTTCTCACACCACGCATGGACAGTTCGGTGAACCTCCCGAGCCTCTGATCCCAACAACCACAAATGCCGAGCCTGTGGGTCATTGCCACATGATAATCAGGCACGCCCTAACTCCGTTGTATTCCGCATTTCTCTGAGCTTCTGGAAATCACATTTCTGAAGCCCTCCTCACGATTTACAGCAGCACATTCTACTAGCATTTGCATTGAAATTTCAGTGTCTCTGGTCAAATCTCCAGTTTCTGACTTCTGATTATTGAGTTCTCAGCTATGGCTTCCGAAGGCCCTGTTAAGAAAGCCTTTATCACCGGTATCACTGGCCAAGATGGGTCCTACCTGACAGAGTTTCTGCTGTCCAAGGGCTACGAAGTCCACGGTATCATCCGGCGCTCCTCTAACTTCAACACCCAGCGCCTGGACCACATCTACCGCGATCCTCACGTCTCTTCTGCCAAGCTGAGACTCCACTACGGTGATCTGTCCGATGCTACCGCTCTCCGTCACTGGATTGACCAGATCAAGCCTGATGAGGTTTTCAACCTCGGTGCTCAGTCCCACGTCGGCGTTTCTTTCGAGAACCCTGAGTACACCGCCGATGTCGTCGGCACGGGAGCTCTTCGCCTCCTCGAGGCTGTTCGCAACCACATTGAGAACTCCGGACGCTCCGTGAAATACTACCAGGCCGGATCTTCCGAAATGTTCGGAGCTACACCGCCTCCTCAAGACGAGAAGACTCTCTTCCATCCTCGCTCGCCGTACGCTGTCTCCAAGGTGGCTGCTCACTGGTACACCGTGAACTACCGCGAGGCTTACGGCATGTTCGCGTGCAATGGCATTCTCTTCAACCACGAGAGCCCGAGGCGTGGTGAGAACTTCGTGACGAGGAAGATCACCCGCGCTGTCGGCCGCATCAAGGTTGGCCTTCAAAAGAAGGTGTACCTCGGCAACCTCAAGGCTTCTCGTGATTGGGGTTTCGCCGGCGACTATGTCAAGGTACGAATGCTGGATGTTGTGTTTCCATTCTGTCGTTAAAATCCGAATGTCACGATTGCTGTATCGCCTGGTTCTCAAACATTGAGTCTTAGCCGTATTTCCTGCGCTCAATCTCGCTCCTCCCCACCCTCCCTCCCCCCTCTCGCCACTCGTAAGTCAGTCAGTTCAAACGAATAATCTAACAAACACAAGCAACAATGAGTCGAGATGCGATTGCCTAACGGTCACAATTCCTTCCGGTATCCGTCTTTCAGGGCATGTGGCTGATGCTCCAGCAGGAGGTGCCTGACGACTACGTGCTGGCCACAGAGGAATCCTTCACCGTCGAACAATTCCTCATCGAGGCCTTCGGCTACGTCGGCCTGGACTGGAAGGAGCACGTCGAGATCGACCCCCGCTATTTCCGCCCGTCCGAGGTGGACAACCTTCGCGGATCCTCCGCCAAGGCCCGGGAAAAGCTTGGATGGAAGCCCGAGGTGTCGTTCAAGCAGCTGGTGGCGATGATGGTGGACTCGGATTTGGATAAGGCCAAGCGGGAGCAGGTGCTCGTAGAGAATGGCTTCTTGGACAGCAACTTCCAGCCCTAAATTCCTAGCTCCGGTGGTTTCTCCTGCAGTTTCATCCGTCCTGGTCCTAGAGAACCCGTTGGGTGGTCTTTGTAGAGTCTGGGGTGATTATATTATCCAGGCAATTGTAAGGTTTGCCTGGTAGCAAGCAACTTTGTATTTACTGACACGTTTGCATTATGGCATATGTATTATTTACTCTCTCCAGCCGTTTCCTCATTCCTAGGGTGCGGAAAGGTGCGGAAACTTCCTCATTCTTGCAGAGTGGGAGCAAGGGGCTGAAACCATTAGGGTGGGTGAGTGGGAGTGAAGGGAGTTTTTAACCCCTGGGATGGGTGAGTGGGAAGGGAAGGAGGCTGAAGCCTTACGGTGGGTGAATGAGGAAGTGGGGCTGAAACCTAGGGTGCTGTATAGTTAAGGCAGTCTTCTCTCTTTGCTGCTTTTGTATATGATTGACATCACCCCCTTGACAACCATGAAGAAGATACAACACAATTGTCTGTGATTAATACCGTGTGAGCCAGTCATACATAACATCACATCATCCCCACATGTAAGCTGGGTACGCTTCCATCTCCTTGGCCACTATGAGAGCCAGCTCTTCCGCTGTTTCATCCTGTCCGCCTGCAAAATTGTATGCCCGGAATGCGAACTGGAAGCAGCGCCAGAGAAGAAACAGGCCCGCCTTGACTCGCGGCACATCGTACACGGGGATGCGCCCATCCACCAGCTCCACTGACGCCCTCAGCTTCATGCTCTCCTGCTCGCACAAAACAACACAGGAAAAAAGGGTTCAGGGTTTTTTTGACTCTAGGCACATCGTACACAGGAATGCGCCCATCCACCGGCTCCACTGATGCCCTCAGCTTCATGCTCTCCTGTTCACAAAAAATACACCACAGGAAGAAGAGGTTCGGGGTTCAGGGTTCAAGGTTTTGGAGCATTAGGCAGTAATTATTTTTTAGCAATCAGCGATGAGAAGCAGCGTAAGGAGAGGAGCCACGTGCACTGGCTGCATCACAGGCAGAATTACTGGGGACAATTGGAAAGAACCATGTGGACTTGACAGCCGTTCACCTGAACATAAAATATTAGGAGGTGGGAGGAGGGGCGCACAGCAGCTACCTTCACACTCCCGATGGCGCCACCACTGTACGGCAGCCGCTGCACTCTGTCACACCAGCTATACCACCCCTGCTGCTGTCAATCGCTCAACTGCATCCAAGTCCACCACACTCTCTTGCACCCAACTCCACCGCGTTCAACCTCGACCCTGTCAATCTAACCCTCACCCCTCGAGCTTACCTGAGCTGACAGCTCCAAGAGGCGAGAGGAGAGGCGCACCGCAGCCGCCTTCACCCTCTCGATGGCACCACCGCTGTACGGCAGCCGCTGCGCTGCAAACTTTTTAGCGTCCTCCTCCCTGCTCCTCTCTACTGCCTCCACCTCCCTCCGGACGCGATCAAACAGCCGCTCGCACCGGTCCAAACACACTCCCACCGCTGCCACTGACGCCGGAGCTGCAGCACCAGCAGTACCAGCAGCACCTCCACCAGCACCGGGCGTCCCTCCCCTGTCGTTGTTGCTCATGGGCACCGCAGAGAGCAGGTCGCGGGAGAGGGCGGAGAGGCGCGAGTGCAGCGATGCCGACGCTCGCAGCAGCTCCAGCTTGCTGCTGGGGAAGCCCTCAAATCGTTGTAGCACCTGCAAGAGGGTCGAGTGGGGGACGTGGAACGTGGGACGTGGGAGGTGGGATGTGTTTTACTTGTGACTGGCTCTAGCAGTGTCAGCAGCTCCAGCAGCTCCAGCTTGCTGCTGGGAAGCCCTCAAATCGCTGTAGCGCCTGAGGGAGGGGAAGGGGGAGGCAGGAGGTGGGAGATGTGAGGTGGGAGGAAAAAAAAGTGGGAAACACAAACGTCTGCAGGAGGTAAGAGGTCCAGCAGTTACGATTGCAGCAACAGTTTTCTGGTACTTTGAATTAATGGCACCTGCAGGTTATTGGTTACTTGGTTACTCGACTTTTTCATTACTCAAATAACTGGCTCATTCAGCAATTTGGCGGATTTTTAACTACCCAGTTACCCGGTTACCGGACTCTATGGTATTACCCAGTTACCTGAGTCTCGTCCGTCAAGTCTTGGAGAAGCGACTCTATCTTGGCCCGAAACGCCACCAGCGCGTCGAAATCAGCATCTTCAATACACGGCTACCCACATTCCCCCATACTCGATTACTAATAGGCCGTAGGGTTACCCAGTTACCTGAGTCTCGTCCGTCAAGTCTTGGAGAAGCGACTCTATCTTGGCTCGAAACGCCACCAGCTCTTCGAAATCGGTGGTCTGGAAGGCCTCCAGGTCAGCCTTCGCCTGCCAGATGGCGTCTGCATGCTTCACCACGTCAGCCTCTATCTGCTGGAAATACGCTGAGCTGGAGGGTCAAGAAGAAGGGGCAAGTGCATAAACCAGGTTGGAACAAGAGGAAGCGAGAGGCGAGAAGAATTCAGGGGTTTACGATAGGCCACCATAAAGTAAGGACAGCTTGAGGGAGGGAGGATGCGATATCACCTATGAAAACGTGAAGGGCGAATGGGAGAGAACCTGCAGGAGAGACACATAGATCTTCCCCACTAGGAGAACAGGCGTCAAACAAACAAGAGAAGGGCGCACACACACATACACAGGCAGAGAAGAGCAAGAAAGCAAGAAACAGAGCAGAACAGCTCAGAGCAACTAACCTTTGGTGGATTTCTGCGAAAGCCAGGCAATGAACACCCGCCCCTCACCTTCTGACTTCTGAGTCGACTCAGGAGTCATACACAGACAATGAAGAGCAAGAAAGCAAGGAAGCATGCAACAGAGCAGAGCAGAGCAGCGCAGAGCAACTCACTTCTGATGGATCTCTGCCAGTGCCAGAGCAATCGACACATGGCCCCCTCCCTGCCGACTTTTTGAGTCGACTCAAGAGACATACACAGACAGAGAAGAGCAAGAAAGCAAGAAACAGAGCAGAGCAGAGCAGCGCAGAGCAACTCACTTCTGATGGATCTCTGCCAGTGCCAGAGCAATCGACACGCGCCCCCCTCCCTGCGGTCTCCCTCTCATGCGCCCTGCCCCATCTCCTACAACCCCTCCTCCTCCCCTCCCCTCTCCTGCTCCCACTCCCCCTCTTCCCCCTCCCCCTCCCCCTCCAGCTCCCCTGTCCTCCCCCAGTGCCTGAGCGCCCACAATAGCTTGCTCCACTCGACTCTTGAGCCCGCGATACAGGTGCCCCATTCGGTTTGACCTCCGCAACCCCCCTTCCCCAACTCCCCCACCGCTGCCCCCCGCTGCCCTTCCCCCTGCCGTTCCCCCTGCCCCTGCCTCTCCCTCCCCCCTTTGCCTTGCCCCTGCAGGCGTCCCTGGGTGGGACCGTTGGGGGGAAGGGGAAGGGGGAGGAGGCGGGCGCGGGGGAGGGGGGGGAGTGGGGAACCGAGGATCTCCAAACGACTGGGAGAGGTCCGGGAGGGAAAAGGAGGCTGGGATGTGGGAGGAGGGGAGGGAGGGAGGAGGAGGGGGAGGGCGAGGCGGAGGAGGGGGAGGGGGGGGACGGGGAGGCACAGAGGAAGCTGTAGACGAAGCTGCAGCAGCAGAGCCCAAGTTTTTAGCATGTCCTGCTCCTGCTGCTCCTGCTCCTCGTTCCTCCTCCTCCTTCTCTTGCTCCTCTCGCTCCTTCTTGGAAGCCTCTGCTGCCGCCACTGCTGCCAAAACAGCCGATCGCGCACCTCCTTTTCCCCTTGTGCTGGACGCTGCTTGTGTGGGCGGAGGGGGGGATTTAAGGGAAGGAGGCGGAGGAGGGGGAGGAGGCACGCCTGCTCCTGCTCCTGCTCCTCTCCCTGACCCTCTTTCTCCTCCTGCTCCTGCTGCTGATGTTGCTGGTTGCAGTGGTGGTGGGGGGGCGGGGGGCAGGGAGGAGAGGAGGGAGGAAGAGGAGGAAGCTGAGAAGGCGAGTTGGCCGTGCCTTCCCCATCCCGCCCCTCCTCCTCCTCCTGCTGGTGCTGGTGCCGCTGCTGCTGAGACTCTGGCTACCCTGCTGTTGCTGCTGCTATTACCCCTTACACTGGCACCAGTAGCAGCGGCAGAAACAGCAGTACCAGCCCTATCAGCTGTAACTGCAGCACAGGAGGCAGCAGCAACAAGAGCAGCAGCAGAATCAGGTCTAGGAGGGATCAGAGCACCGGGAGCACCAGCAGCAATGGCAGCAGCAGCGTCGAAACGAGCACTGGCAGCAGCAGCAACAGCAGCAGCAGACACACTCCCAGCCGCCTTCCTTGCTGCTGCCACTGCTGCACTTGCTGTTTCTCCCTTTCTCACTCCCCTCACTACCCCTCCCCCACTCCCGAGCACCCCCATACCGTCCCTCACTCCTCCCCTGACCCATTCACTGTGCCCTGGTCTCACATTACCTCCTACTCCTGCTCCCACACTTAGAGAGCCATCCTCGTTAGACGAATGATGGGTTAAGGAAACAACGTCGGCCAGTGACATAGAAGCAGAGGGGGAGCTTAAGCTGCGTGTAACGAGAGCAGCACTAGGGGCCGGTTTAGCAGCAACAGTAATGGCAGCTGATCTCGCAGCAACAGTGGTAGCAGTAGCTGATTTTGCAGCCCATGGCACAGAAAAGACAGGTGGGGTGGGAGTCAAGGGGCTAGGTCGTGCAGGTTTGGGTGACGGGAGGGTTAATGGAGGAGGGAAGAACGCAGGAGGGTGGAAGGTGGGGGGTGAGGGAGGGGAGGGAGGGGAAGGAGCGGAGGGAGGAGAGGGAGGAGATGGAGGAGAAGGAAGGGCAATAACAGCACCGGCAGCTGCAGCAGAACGAGCACCAGCGAAAACAGCAGCACCAGCACCACCGCCACCACAGCCAGCACCGGCAGCAGCGCCAGCAGCAATAGGAGGAGGAGGAGGAGGAGTGGCAGAGGAAGTGGAAGCGGCAGCAGTGATGGTGGCTTGGAGAAGCGAAGCAGTGTGAGGGGTGGGCGGGCGGACGAAGCTGGGAGGCTCAAACGAATCTGCCCACCCCCCTTCCATCTCCTCATTCCCCCATCCACCCTCCCACTCCCTCTCTCCCATCTCTCCTCCTCTTCTTCTTCCTCCTCCTACTCCTCCCCATCCACCCCCCCACCCTCCTCCTCCTCCCCTTCTCCTCTCTGCTACCCCATCTCGCCCCCATTCGGCTCCTCCTGCTCGTGCGCCTCCCGCCCCTCCGGCCATGCCTCGGCTGGTTGGGAAGCTGGCTTCCGAGCCTGAGGCCGAGGCTGGAGCAGGCTGGGCCGAGGCTGGGGCGGAAACTTGGGAGGAGAGGGAGCGGGCGGCCTGCTGTTGAAAAAGATCCATCTTGCGAAGAATGCGGCGACCTGATGGGGAGGGTGGAGGCAGGAAAGAGGAAGAATGAGGGTGAGGCCACTAGAGTGGAGGCATGATAAATTGGAGAGTAGGAGGAATGAGGTTGAGTGCATGAAAAAGTGTGGGGGCATGAGGTTGAGTGCATGAAAAAGTGTGGGGGCATGAGGGTGGGGGCAATTGGGCAGACTCAGATGTCATGTCACCTCACTAGATTCTGACAACTTCATAAAACTCACTCAGTGACTCGAGTGTGAGCGGCCCATCCGCTAATGATGGCGATCCTTCTCCTTCTCCTCCTCCTCGGCTTCCTCCCCCTCTACTTCCCCCTTCTCTACTCCGTCCTCCGCTTCCTCCTCCTGACAACACCAGCACATCCGCCTCTCCATCTCTCCCTGCCCTCCTATACTCCCCCCGCCTACCCCTGTAGCTGCTGCTACTGGCCCGGTTGCTGCTGTGACTACTGCTGCTGCTGCTGCTGTTACTCTGCCGAACCGACCTCTTTGAATTCTCAACACTACCTGCCCCAGCACCAGCACCGCTGCTCCTCAACCACCCAGTGCCTCTATCACTAACGCCGTCCCTGTTGCTTCGGTTGGAGCGCTGAGAGCGTGGTGTGTGAGGGGGGGTGGTCGAGCGGAGGAGATTAGATGCGGAGCGAGAGGAGGAGAGGAGGGACGTGGAGGAGTGAGTGAGGGGGCGGACGGAGGGGGAGAGGGGGTGGCGGAAAGAAGGGGGAGAGTGGGGGCGGGGAGAAGGGACCTGCGAGCCAGCAACAGAAAGACTCTGCCCATTGTCCTTTTTCCAGGGAGAGGCAGAGTTTGCAGGGGGTGCAGAGCGGTGGTGAGCCCATGCGCTTTCCATTTGGCACAGTGTGCTATAGAAGGCCTCTAAACGCTCGCCCATGGGCTGCTGCTGCTGCTGCGGTTGTAGACCCATGGGATGGTGGTGGTGGTGCTTCTGCTTCTTCTGCTGCTTCTGCTGCACGGAGTGCGGCAGTGCTGCCCCCTTGTGTGCCTGCAGCTTCTGGTTTGGATCGTGTGAGTGTGCGTTGGGAAGGGCCTCCATTGTGCTCTCCAGAATCTGGGTTTTGAAATCACAAGGGGAGAGGAGACCGGAGGCGAGCAAGAGAGTGAGGGTGGATGGAGAGAGAAGAGGAGAGGATGAAGCAGGGAGTTTTTTAGAATTCTCAAAAACTCCCTGCAACGTCATGGAGAGAGAAGAGGAGAGACTGAGTGTGCGTTGGGAAGAGCCTCCATTGTGCTCTCTAGAATCTGGATTTGGAGCAGCGGGGTGGGGAGGCCACGGAGTAGAAGGAAGAAAGGGGGAGTTGAGAGGGAAGAAAACTAGTGATTGAGTGTGCGTTGGGAAGAAAACTACTGATTGAGAGTGCGTTGGGAAGGGAACTAGTGATTGAGTGTGCGTTGGGAAGAGCCTCCATTGTGCTCTCTAGAATCTGGAATCCGATCAAGGTGGAGGGAAAGCGGGGGGAGAGAGGGGGGAGAGACGGGAGGATGTCCACATGAAAACACTTTTTCTTGTCGTTCCTCGCATCCTAAGAGTCTCAACACTCTTCTTAGCCTGTTCGCTATAGTAACACCCACATAACAGCACCAATCTCTACACTCACACAAAAATATCAACACCCACCCTCCCCAGTTCAACTCAAAGGGACTCACGTCCTGCATGTCAGCGTCGCTCTCTGGCGGTAGCAGGTGCAGCGATGAACAAAAACCAAACAAACCCACACCAATGCAACCCCCATGGCTCACGTCCTGCGTGTCAGCATCGCTCTCTGGTGGTGGCAGGTGCAGCGAGGAGCGCAGGGAGATGAGACGGCTCCTCAGCTCCGCCAGCACCACCAGCCCGCCCAGCCACCCCTTCCCCTCCTGCCTTTGCTGCACCGGAGGAATATGGGAGGACAAAGGGAAAGAGGAAGGACTTTTGAGACTCTCAAACGGCAGGTGCAGCGAGGAGCGCAGGCAGATGAGACGGCTCCTCAGCTCCGCCAGCACCACCAGCCCGCCCAGCCACCCCTTCCCCTCCTGCCTTTGCTGCACAGGAGGAATATGGGAGGACAAAGGGAAAGAGGAAGGACTTTTGAGACTCTCAAACGGCAGGTGCAGCGAGGAGCGCAGGGAGATGAGACGGCTCCTCAGCTCCGCCAGCACCACCAGCCCGCCCAGCCACCCCTTCCCCTCCTGCCTTTGCTGCACAGGAGGAATATGGGAGGACAAAGGGAAAGAGGAAGGACTTTTGAGACTCTCAAACGGCAGGTGCAGCGAGGAGCGCAGGCAGATGAGACGGCTCCTCAGCTCCGCCAGCACCACCAGCCCGCCCAGCCACCCCTTCCCCTCCTGCCTTTGCTGCACCGGAGGAATGGGAGAGGGCAGAGGGATGACAGGGAGAGGACAGAAGGAGGACTTGTAAGGTGGATCAAGGTACAGCGAGGAGCGCAGGCAGATGAGTTTCCTCCTCAGCTTCGCCGGAACCACCAGGCCCCCCAGCCACCCCTTGCCCTCCTCCCTTTGCTGCAGAATGGAGGGGTACAAATGGAGGAAAGAGGAAGGGATTCGGGGAAATCTCGAAAGACAGGTGCAGCGATGAGCGCAGGCAGATAAGTCGCTGCCTCAGCTTTGCCAGCACCACCAGCCCTCCCAGCCACTCCTTGCCCTCCTCCCTTGGCTCACCGGAGGGATATGGGAGGAAGGAGGGAGAGAAGTGGGAGGAAGGAGGGAGGAAAATGGGAGGAAAGTGGGGAAAAGTGGAAAGAAAGAGGGAGAAAAGTGGGAGGGGTGGCACACGGAACGGAGCCGAGGCGGTTGGGTGGGTGGGAGAGGATGCCAGCAGTGGCAGGGCGCGGGGAGTCAGAGTCACCAGGTGCAGGGCGTGGGTTTGTTCTAAGATGTCGAGCCTCTCTCTTGCAGCGGCAGCACATGGGGAGCCGCGAGGCACATGGGGAGCCGCGAGGCACATGGGGAGCCGCGAGGCACATGGGGAGCCGCGAGGCACATGGGGAGCCGCGAGGCACTGTGCATCGGCTGGGAGGGCGTGGGTTTGTTCTAGGACGTATCAAAGCACTCACGGATTCCAGCTGGTGCAGGTGGGAAAGGTTGACATCCAGCCGCTCTTGCAGTGGCAGGGCATGGGGAGCCACGAGGCACTCTGCATCGGGCCCCAACAGGTCGTACAGCTGTTGCTCCGCCTCCCTCACACCCTCCTCCAGCTCTGTACGCTGCTGCACTGCCTCCCGCACTGCCTGTGATGGGAGAGAGAAGAGAAGGCTTTGCATCTCATGGCTTGGCAGGGCATGGCGTGGCATGGCACGGCATGGCGTGGCATGGCATGGCACGGCACGGCATGGCGTGGCATGGCATGGCACGGCATGGCGTGGCATGGCACGGCACGGCAAGAGATGGCAGGAAATGACATTGTGAGCACAAATCTACGATCGCTGCCAACTTGTTCTGTTTCTATAACGCTTCTTTAACTGGTTCACTCTAGAAGCACACAAAGCCATCTCAATTACAGCGCTTCTCAAAAGTCGACCCAAAGCATGGGCTACTATAACTATCACAGCACACCAACAGTCCACGTCATCACCTTCTCATAGGCCCTATCCACAGCATCTGCAACGGCCGATCGCAGGTCTTCTGAGCGAATCAGCTTATCCTCTCCTATTTCCTGAATCACACAGAGGGGAGAATAAAGAAAGCCAACGCAGGAAGAGAGGGAGAGCAGAGGGAAGGGGTTGGTAGGAACACAGGAAACGAGAAGGAGAAAGGGTAGGAATGAAGGATGTGGGAGGTCAAAGAGGCAGCATGGGGAAGAAATTGGCAGGCAACAACAGAGAGAATCTTTCGCCAATGGTTGTGTTATCCATGGATGCTTGTCCTAATCTCTCATGTTCCCTGAGTACACGCTTCCTCCTGCCCCTCATGACATGTAACAACCTTCCCATGACTTGTAACGCACCTTCCGTGACTTGAAATGTACCTTGCACGACATGTAAGCGCACCTCACATAGCTAGTAATCGACCTCTTATGCCTTGCAACGCTCCTCCCGTGACTTGAAACGCACATTTTACGCCTTGTAACCCTCTTCTTCTGACTTGTGACGCACTTCTCACTACTTGTAACGCACCTCCCAGATGACGTGGAGTTCGGCCTCCCAGTCTCCACGGCGAAGAGACGAGTCGTCTAGGTTCTTGTGCGCGTTGAAGAGCGTCTTGAGCTTCGGTACCTTGGGCCCGCACTGCCCCGCTCCCGCCTCGCACTTGCACCAGCAGTGACTCATCCTGACAGCGGATTCGTTAACGACGACAGCAGTGGCTCATATTGACTTGAGATTCGTTAATGAGGATCGCAGCGAATCATAACGACCAACGGCTTGCTACTGACGACAGCGGTGACTCATATTGACCGTGGATTCACTACTAAGATTTGCAGAGACTTATACTGACAGGAGTTTCGCTAGTGAGGATCGCAGTGTCTCATAATGACAGAGGATTCGCTAGAGTGAGAATCGTAGTAACTCGTTGTCATGTCCGCTCATGGCACATTCAAGGGACAAGGATTCAGTGACTAATAAACACGGTAACTTCACATATCAAAGGTATTCAAGGTGAGAGGTGTCCCCTGCATGGTCACGACTAGGAGCCACTTTTGCTGTGACGTGCTCGTTGCTACTCAAGTAAGGCCAAGCCCTGATCGGACGGCTATGATCATCGTCAGCGAGGCTGACAGTAAGCGATCAAACTTCTTGAAAATAAGGCGATAGACACTGTGGGGAATAGTCAAGAGGACTCCGCAGGTCCCGAGACGCCATCCGTGATCAGTGCAATGGGCAGCACCCGAGCACCCAACATGAGTTGCAGAATCTGGGATCCTCGATGTTGCCGAAGCCATTTCCGTTATGCATCTCTGTATACCTGTTACATACATTACCAAAAATTAAGAATGTTGCGATCGCCATTTCTATACATTACAGTAACCTGAGGCTATCACGACCTTTCTTGAAGCATCAAAATTATATGAGCACGCACACACATACTGATATCAACACCACATCAGAACGACCCAACACATAAAACATAAGCTTACAAAATATCAGCAGCACATACATTTGCAACCACTGAACGAGCACTCTACAGCAGTCATAGTTTCAGCCTTGAATTGAACTTGGTCCCTCCAACCGCTGCTAGCTCAGCAGCAACTGAAACCATCATGGCCTCCAGCTCATCCTTCCTATCCGACACAGGGGCCTCCAGGTTCTCCCCCGCAGTCAACGGAGTCAACGGGGTCAAAGCGGGAGCAGGAGCCTGAGCAGGCGCCTGCGCCGGCCCCTTCTCCCTTCCTGCACCCGCTCTCCAGCTATCAGCTGCAGCGGCGTCCATATCGTCACTGGTCCCGCTCGTCCCACCGCTGCCACTGCCACCGCACCTCCCGCCAATGCTGATGCAACCCTCTTCCTCCCCTCCCACTCCCCCATCTCCCCCTCCCTGCTGCGGCACCGCCCCTCTCCCACCCCCACCCACCGTCTTCCCCCTCTGCCTGGGCACAGTCGCATGGCCCCACGCGGCAATACACGCCCTCGTGGCCCGCCTCACATCCTCATCCCTGGCTGGGCCCAGCCCACACACAGCCGCCTGCAGCACCGGCGGCGAGTCTAAAAACTGGAAATGCCCCGCGTCTCGCAGCACAACCTCCCAGCTAGGGTTGCCAGCTTCTTTAAAGAACCAGCGGTAGTTGGAGGCAGCAGGGGCGCAGTCGCCGGGGTAGCCGCCGCCAACGACAAGGGTGGGGAGGGAGACGGCGAGTCCTTGGTTGGCAGGGTTGGCATCGGCAAGGAGGTGCTCGATGGCACTGTTGCCCGCCCTCATAGCTGCCACTGCTGAGGGGTACCCGGGGGCCAGCGGCGCATAGACTGCAGGGGGAGAGAGGGGGGAAGACGAGGGGGTTGGAAGAGAGAGAGTTGAAGGCCTCTCTGAACCAGCCGCTTTAAAGAACCAGCGGTAGTTGGAGGCAGCAGGGGCGCAGTCGCCGAGGTAGCCGCCGCCAACGACAAGGGTGGGGAGGGAGACGGCGAGGCCTTGGTTGGCGGGGTTGGCATCGGCGAGGAGGTGCTCGATGGCGCCGTAGCCCGCCCTCATAGCTGCCACTGCTGAGGGGTACCCGGGGGCCAGAGGGGCGTAGACTGCAGGGGGGGAAAGCATATGGGGGATGGATACAGAGGGAGGGGAGACAGGGCATGGTTCAATGGCACTGGTGCACGTGCCATGCTTGAGTTGAAGGGAGGGTTATTGGATGACGAGGGTGGGGAGGGAGCGGGCGAGTCCCATGTTGGCGGGGTTGGCATCAGCAAGCAGGTGCTCTATGGCACTGTTGCCCGCCCTCATAGCTGCCACTGCTGAGGGGTACCCGGGGGCCAGTGGAGCATAGACTGCAGGGAGAGGGAGGAGGGAAGGGGTAGGGGGAAAGAAGTAGGAGGGTTTAACGGGGAGGGAAGGGGGAGGGGTATAGCAGGGAAAAGAAGGGTGATGGCGCTGGTGCCTGCCTGTAGGGGCGCCACTGCTGAGGGTTACCTATGGGAGGGCCAGAGGGGCATAGACTGCAGGTACAAAACGAGTGAATTGCTGTTTGACACATGTGTGATTTCCTGCTCGAGTCAAACTGCGCACACATGCCTCAGTGGGTGTGCGCTGGAGCTGGTGGTTGGCAACTCACTTGTGTTATCGACGGGGTCGACGAGGCCTAGGGAGAGCACCCGAGGGTCCATGGCCGCTGCCAGCAAGCGTGTGTTGACCCGACTCAAAACACATATGTCTCACGGGTGTGCGCTGGAGCTGGTGGTTGGCAGCTCACTTGTGTTATCGACGGGGTCGACGAGGCCTAGGGAGAGCACCCGAGGGTCCATGGCCGCTGCCAGCAAGCGTGTGTTGACCCGACTCAAAACACATATGTCTCACGGGTGTGCGCTGGAGCTGGTGGTTGGCAGCTCACTTGTGTTATCGACGGGGTCGACGAGGCCTAGGGAGAGCACCCGAGGGTCCATGGCCGCTGCCAGCAAGCGTGTGTTGACCCGACTCAAAACACATATGTCTCACGGGTGTGCGCTGGAGCTGGTGGTTGGCAGCTCACTTGTGTTATCGACGGGGTCGACGAGGCCTAGGGAGAGCACCCGAGGGTCCATGGCCGCTGCCAGCAAGCGTGTGTTGACCCGACTCAAAACACATATGTCTCACGGGTGTGCGCTGGAGCTGGTGGTTGGCAACTCACTTGTGTTATCGACGGGGTCGACGAGGCCTAGGGAGAGCACCCGAGGGTCCATGGCCGCTGCCAGCAAGCGTGTGTTGACCCGACTCAAAACACATATGTCTCACGGGTGTGCGCTGGAGCTGGTGGTTGGCAACTCACTTGTGTTATCGACGGGGTCGACGAGGCCTAGGGAGAGCACCCGAGGGTCCATGGCCGCTGCCAGCAAGCGTGTGTTGACCCGACTCAAAACACATATGTCTCACGGGTGTGCGCTGGAGCTGGTGGTTGGCAACTCACTTGTGTTATCGACGGGGTCGACGAGGCCTAGGGAGAGCACCCGAGGGTCCATGGCCGCTGCCAGCAAGCGTGTGTTGACCCGACTCAAAACACATATGTCTCACGGGTGTGCGCTGGAGCTGGTGGTTGGCAGCTCACTTGTGTTATCGACGGGGTCGACGAGGCCTAGGGAGAGCACCCGAGGGTCCATGGCCGCTGCCAGCAAGCGTGTGTTGACCCGACTCAAAACACATATGTCTCACGGGTGTGCGCTGGAGCTGGTGGTTGGCAACTCACTTGTGTTATCGACGGGGTCGACGAGGCCTAGGGAGAGCACCCGAGGGTCCATGGCCGCTGCCAGCAAGCGTGTGTTGACCCGACTCAAAACACATATGTCTCACGGGTGTGCGCTGGAGCTGGTGGTTGGCAGCTCACTTGTGTTATCGACGGGGTCGACGAGGCCTAGGGAGAGCACCCGAGGGTCCATGGCCGCTGCCAGCAAGCGTGTGTTGACCCGACTCAAAACACATATGTCTCACGGGTGTGCGCTGGAGCTGGTGGTTGGCAACTCACTTGTGTTATCGACGGGGTCGACGAGGCCTAGGGAGAGCACCCGAGGGTCCATGGCCGCTGCCAGCAAGCGTGTGTTGACCCGACTCAAAACACATATGTCTCACGGGTGTGCGCTGGAGCTGGTGGTTGGCAACTCACTTGTGTTATCGACGGGGTCGACGAGGCCTAGGGAGAGCACCCGAGGGTCCATGGCCGCTGCCAGCAAGCGTGTGTTGACCCGACTCAAAACACATATGTCTCACGGGTGTGCGCTGGAGCTGGTGGTTGGCAGCTCACTTGTGTTATCGACGGGGTCGACGAGGCCTAGGGAGAGCACCCGAGGGTCCATGGCCGCTGCCAGCAAGCGTGTGTTGACCCGACTCAAAACACATATGTCTCACGGGTGTGCGCTGGAGCTGGTGGTTGGCAACTCACTTGTGTTATCGACGGGGTCGACGAGGCCTAGGGAGAGCACCCGAGGGTCCATGGCCGCTGCCAGCAAGCGTGTGTTGACCCGACTCAAAACACATATGTCTCACGGGTGTGCGCTGGAGCTGGTGGTTGGCAACTCACTTGTGTTATCGACGGGGTCGACGAGGCCTAGGGAGAGCACCCGAGGGTCCATGGCCGCTGCCAGCAAGCGTGTGTTGACCCGACTCAAAACACATATGTCTCACGGGTGTGCGCTGGAGCTGGTGGTTGGCAACTCACTTGTGTTATCGACGGGGTCGACGAGGCCTAGGGAGAGCACCCGAGGGTCCATGGCCGCTGCCAGCAAGCGTGTGTTGACCCGACTCAAAACACATATGTCTCACGGGTGTGCGCTGGAGCTGGTGGTTGGCAGCTCACTTGTGTTATCGACGGGGTCGACGAGGCCTAGGGAGAGCACCCGAGGGTCCATGGCCGCTGCCAGCAAGCGTGTGTTGACCCGACTCAAAACACATATGTCTCACGGGTGTGCGCTGGAGCTGGTGGTTGGCAACTCACTTGTGTTATCGACGGGGTCGACGAGGCCTAGGGAGAGCACCCGAGGGTCCATGGCCGCTGCCAGCAAGCGTGTGTTGACCCGACTCAAAACACATATGTCTCACGGGTGTGCGCTGGAGCTGGTGGTTGGCAGCTCACTTGTGTTATCGACGGGGTCGACGAGGCCTAGGGAGAGCACCCGAGGGTCCATGGCCGCTGCCAGCAAGCGTGTGTTGACCCGACTCAAAACACATATGTCTCACGGGTGTGCGCTGGAGCTGGTGGTTGGCAACTCACTTGTGTTATCGACGGGGTCGACGAGGCCTAGGGAGAGCACCCGAGGGTCCATGGCCGCTGCCAGCAAGCGTGTGTTGACCCGACTCAAAACACATATGTCTCACGGGTGTGCGCTGGAGCTGGTGGTTGGCAACTCACTTGTGTTATCGACGGGGTCGACGAGGCCTAGGGAGAGCACCCGAGGGTCCATGGCCGCTGCCAGCAAGCGTGTGTTGACCCGACTCAAAACACATATGTCTCACGGGTGTGCGCTGGAGCTGGTGGTTGGCAGCTCACTTGTGTTATCGACGGGGTCGACGAGGCCTAGGGAGAGCACCCGAGGGTCCATGGCCGCTGCCAGCAAGCGTGTGTTGACCCGACTCAAAACACATATGTCTCACGGGTGTGCGCTGGAGCTGGTGGTTGGCAGCTCACTTGTGTTATCGACGGGGTCGACGAGGCCTAGGGAGAGCACCCGAGGGTCCATGGCCGCTGCCAGCAAGCGTGTGTTGACCCGACTCAAAACACATATGTCTCACGGGTGTGCGCTGGAGCTGGTGGTTGGCAACTCACTTGTGTTATCGACGGGGTCGACGAGGCCTAGGGAGAGCACCCGAGGGTCCATGGCCGCTGCCAGCAAGCGTGTGTTGACCCGACTCAAAACACATATGTCTCACGGGTGTGCGCTGGAGCTGGTGGTTGGCAACTCACTTGTGTTATCGACGGGGTCGACGAGGCCTAGGGAGAGCACCCGAGGGTCCATGGCCGCTGCCAGCAAGCGTGTGTTGACCCGACTCAAAACACATATGTCTCACGGGTGTGCGCTGGAGCTGGTGGTTGGCAACTCACTTGTGTTATCGACGGGGTCGACGAGGCCTAGGGAGAGCACCCGAGGGTCCATGGCCGCTGCCAGCAAGCGTGTGTTGACCCGACTCAAAACACATATGTCTCACGGGTGTGCGCTGGAGCTGGTGGTTGGCAACTCACTTGTGTTATCGACGGGGTCGACGAGGCCTAGGGAGAGCACCCGAGGGTCCATGGCCGCTGCCAGCAAGCGTGTGTTGACCCGACTCAAAACACATATGTCTCACGGGTGTGCGCTGGAGCTGGTGGTTGGCAACTCACTTGTGTTATCGACGGGGTCGACGAGGCCTAGGGAGAGCACCCGAGGGTCCATGGCCGCTGCCAGCAAGCGTGTGTTGACCCGACTCAAAACACATATGTCTCACGGGTGTGCGCTGGAGCTGGTGGTTGGCAACTCACTTGTGTTATCGACGGGGTCGACGAGGCCTAGGGAGAGCACCCGAGGGTCCATGGCCGCTGCCAGCAAGCGTGTGTTGACCCGACTCAAAACACATATGTCTCACGGGTGTGCGCTGGAGCTGGTGGTTGGCAACTCACTTGTGTTATCGACGGGGTCGACGAGGCCTAGGGAGAGCACCCGAGGGTCCATGGCCGCTGCCAGCAAGCGTGTGTTGACCCGACTCAAAACACATATGTCTCACGGGTGTGCGCTGGAGCTGGTGGTTGGCAACTCACTTGTGTTATCGACGGGGTCGACGAGGCCTAGGGAGAGCACCCGAGGGTCCATGGCCGCTGCCAGCAAGCGTGTGTTGACCCGACTCAAAACACATATGTCTCACGGGTGTGCGCTGGAGCTGGTGGTTGGCAGCTCACTTGTGTTATCGACGGGGTCGACGAGGCCTAGGGAGAGCACCCGAGGGTCCATGGCCGCTGCCAGCAAGCGTGTGTTGACCCGACTCAAAACACATATGTCTCACGGGTGTGCGCTGGAGCTGGTGGTTGGCAACTCACTTGTGTTATCGACGGGGTCGACGAGGCCTAGGGAGAGCACCCGAGGGTCCATGGCCGCTGCCAGCAAGCGTGTGTTGACCCGACTCAAAACACATATGTCTCACGGGTGTGCGCTGGAGCTGGTGGTTGGCAGCTCACTTGTGTTATCGACGGGGTCGACGAGGCCTAGGGAGAGCACCCGAGGGTCCATGGCCGCTGCCAGCAAGCGTGTGTTGACCCGACTCAAAACACATATGTCTCATGGGTGTGCGCTGGAGCTGGTGGTTGGCAACTCACTTGTGTTATCGACGGGGTCGACGAGGCCTAGGGAGAGCACCCGAGGGTCCATGGCCGCTGCCAGCAAGCGTGTGTTGACCCGACTCAAAACACATATGTCTCACGGGTGTGCGCTGGAGCTGGTGGTTGGCAACTCACTTGTGTTATCGACGGGGTCGACGAGGCCTAGGGAGAGCACCCGAGGGTCCATGGCCGCTGCCAGCAAGCGTGTGTTGACCCGACTCAAAACACATATGTCTCACGGGTGTGCGCTGGAGCTGGTGGTTGGCAGCTCACTTGTGTTATCGACGGGGTCGACGAGGCCTAGGGAGAGCACCCGAGGGTCCATGGCCGCTGCCAGCAAGCGTGTGTTGACCCGACTCAAAACACATATGTCTCACGGGTGTGCGCTGGAGCTGGTGGTTGGCAACTCACTTGTGTTATCGACGGGGTCGACGAGGCCTAGGGAGAGCACCCGAGGGTCCATGGCCGCTGCCAGCAAGCGTGTGTTGACCCGACTCAAAACACATATGTCTCACGGGTGTGCGCTGGAGCTGGTGGTTGGCAGCTCACTTGTGTTATCGACGGGGTCGACGAGGCCTAGGGAGAGCACCCGAGGGTCCATGGCCGCTGCCAGCAAGCGTGTGTTGACCCGACTCAAAACACATATGTCTCACGGGTGTGCGCTGGAGCTGGTGGTTGGCAACTCACTTGTGTTATCGACGGGGTCGACGAGGCCTAGGGAGAGCACCCGAGGGTCCATGGCCGCTGCCAGCAAGCGTGTGTTGACCCGACTCAAAACACATATGTCTCACGGGTGTGCGCTGGAGCTGGTGGTTGGCAGCTCACTTGTGTTATCGACGGGGTCGACGAGGCCTAGGGAGAGCACCCGAGGGTCCATGGCCGCTGCCAGCAAGCGTGTGTTGACCCGACTCAAAACACATATGTCTCACGGGTGTGCGCTGGAGCTGGTGGTTGGCAACTCACTTGTGTTATCGACGGGGTCGACGAGGCCTAGGGAGAGCACCCGAGGGTCCATGGCCGCTGCCAGCAAGCGTGTGTTGACCCGACTCAAAACACATATGTCTCACGGGTGTGCGCTGGAGCTGGTGGTTGGCAGCTCACTTGTGTTATCGACGGGGTCGACGAGGCCTAGGGAGAGCACCCGAGGGTCCATGGCCGCTGCCAGCAAGCGTGTGTTGACCCGACTCAAAACACATATGTCTCACGGGTGTGCGCTGGAGCTGGTGGTTGGCAGCTCACTTGTGTTATCGACGGGGTCGACGAGGCCTAGGGAGAGCACCCGAGGGTCCATGGCCGCTGCCAGCAAGCGTGTGTTGACCCGACTCAAAACACATATGTCTCACGGGTGTGCGCTGGAGCTGGTGGTTGGCAGCTCACTTGTGTTATCGACGGGGTCGACGAGGCCTAGGGAGAGCACCCGAGGGTCCATGGCCGCTGCCAGCAAGCGTGTGTTGACCCGACTCAAAACACATATGTCTCACGGGTGTGCGCTGGAGCTGGTGGTTGGCAACTCACTTGTGTTATCGACGGGGTCGACGAGGCCTAGGGAGAGCACCCGAGGGTCCATGGCCGCTGCCAGCAAGCGTGTGTTGACCCGACTCAAAACACATATGTCTCACGGGTGTGCGCTGGAGCTGGTGGTTGGCAGCTCACTTGTGTTATCGACGGGGTCGACGAGGCCTAGGGAGAGCACCCGAGGGTCCATGGCCGCTGCCAGCAAGCGTGTGTTGACCCGACTCAAAACACATATGTCTCACGGGTGTGCGCTGGAGCTGGTGGTTGGCAACTCACTTGTGTTATCGACGGGGTCGACGAGGCCTAGGGAGAGCACCCGAGGGTCCATGGCCGCTGCCAGCAAGCGTGTGTTGACCCGACTCAAAACACATATGTCTCACGGGTGTGCGCTGGAGCTGGTGGTTGGCAGCTCACTTGTGTTATCGACGGGGTCGACGAGGCCTAGGGAGAGCACCCGAGGGTCCATGGCCGCTGCCAGCAAGCGTGTGTTGACCCGACTCAAAACACATATGTCTCATGGGTGTGCGCTGGAGCTGGTGGTTGGCAACTCACTTGTGTTATCGACGGGGTCGACGAGGCCTAGGGAGAGCACCCGAGGGTCCATGGCCGCTGCCAGCAAGCGTGTGTTGACCCGACTCAAAACACATATGTCTCACGGGTGTGCGCTGGAGCTGGTGGTTGGCAACTCACTTGTGTTATCGACGGGGTCGACGAGGCCTAGGGAGAGCACCCGAGGGTCCATGGCCGCTGCCAGCAAGCGTGTGTTGACCCGACTCAAAACACATATGTCTCACGGGTGTGCGCTGGAGCTGGTGGTTGGCAACTCACTTGTGTTATCGACGGGGTCGACGAGGCCTAGGGAGAGCACCCGAGGGTCCATGGCCGCTGCCAGCAAGCGTGTGTTGACCCGACTCAAAACACATATGTCTCACGGGTGTGCGCTGGAGCTGGTGGTTGGCAGCTCACTTGTGTTATCGACGGGGTCGACGAGGCCTAGGGAGAGCACCCGAGGGTCCATGGCCGCTGCCAGCAAGCGTGTGTTGACCCGACTCAAAACACATATGTCTCACGGGTGTGCGCTGGAGCTGGTGGTTGGCAACTCACTTGTGTTATCGACGGGGTCGACGAGGCCTAGGGAGAGCACCCGAGGGTCCATGGCCGCTGCCAGCAAGCGTGTGTTGACCCGACTCAAAACACATATGTCTCACGGGTGTGCGCTGGAGCTGGTGGTTGGCAGCTCACTTGTGTTATCGACGGGGTCGACGAGGCCTAGGGAGAGCACCCGAGGGTCCATGGCCGCTGCCAGCAAGCGTGTGTTGACCCGACTCAAAACACATATGTCTCACGGGTGTGCGCTGGAGCTGGTGGTTGGCAACTCACTTGTGTTATCGACGGGGTCGACGAGGCCTAGGGAGAGCACCCGAGGGTCCATGGCCGCTGCCAGCAAGCGTGTGTTGACCCGACTCAAAACACATATGTCTCACGGGTGTGCGCTGGAGCTGGTGGTTGGCAGCTCACTTGTGTTATCGACGGGGTCGACGAGGCCTAGGGAGAGCACCCGAGGGTCCATGGCCGCTGCCAGCAAGCGTGTGTTGACCCGACTCAAAACACATATGTCTCACGGGTGTGCGCTGGAGCTGGTGGTTGGCAACTCACTTGTGTTATCGACGGGGTCGACGAGGCCTAGGGAGAGCACCCGAGGGTCCATGGCCGCTGCCAGCAAGCGTGTGTTGACCCGACTCAAAACACATATGTCTCACGGGTGTGCGCTGGAGCTGGTGGTTGGCAGCTCACTTGTGTTATCGACGGGGTCGACGAGGCCTAGGGAGAGCACCCGAGGGTCCATGGCCGCTGCCAGCAAGCGTGTGTTGACCCGACTCAAAACACATATGTCTCACGGGTGTGCGCTGGAGCTGGTGGTTGGCAACTCACTTGTGTTATCGACGGGGTCGACGAGGCCTAGGGAGAGCACCCGAGGGTCCATGGCCGCTGCCAGCAAGCGTGTGTTGACCCGACTCAAAACACATATGTCTCACGGGTGTGCGCTGGAGCTGGTGGTTGGCAACTCACTTGTGTTATCGACGGGGTCGACGAGGCCTAGGGAGAGCACCCGAGGGTCCATGGCCGCTGCCAGCAAGCGTGTGTTGACCCGACTCAAAACACATATGTCTCACGGGTGTGCGCTGGAGCTGGTGGTTGGCAGCTCACTTGTGTTATCGACGGGGTCGACGAGGCCTAGGGAGAGCACCCGAGGGTCCATGGCCGCTGCCAGCAAGCGTGTGTTGACCCGACTCAAAACACATATGTCTCACGGGTGTGCGCTGGAGCTGGTGGTTGGCAACTCACTTGTGTTATCGACGGGGTCGACGAGGCCTAGGGAGAGCACCCGAGGGTCCATGGCCGCTGCCAGCAAGCGTGTGTTGACCCGACTCAAAACACATATGTCTCACGGGTGTGCGCTGGAGCTGGTGGTTGGCAGCTCACTTGTGTTATCGACGGGGTCGACGAGGCCTAGGGAGAGCACCCGAGGGTCCATGGCCGCTGCCAGCAAGCGTGTGTTGACCCGACTCAAAACACATATGTCTCACGGGTGTGCGCTGGAGCTGGTGGTTGGCAACTCACTTGTGTTATCGACGGGGTCGACGAGGCCTAGGGAGAGCACCCGAGGGTCCATGGCCGCTGCCAGCAAGCGTGTGTTGACCCGACTCAAAACACATATGTCTCACGGGTGTGCGCTGGAGCTGGTGGTTGGCAGCTCACTTGTGTTATCGACGGGGTCGACGAGGCCTAGGGAGAGCACCCGAGGGTCCATGGCCGCTGCCAGCAAGCGTGTGTTGACCCGACTCAAAACACATATGTCTCACGGGTGTGCGCTGGAGCTGGTGGTTGGCAACTCACTTGTGTTATCGACGGGGTCGACGAGGCCTAGGGAGAGCACCCGAGGGTCCATGGCCGCTGCCAGCAAGCGTGTGTTGACCCGACTCAAAACACATATGTCTCACGGGTGTGCGCTGGAGCTGGTGGTTGGCAACTCACTTGTGTTATCGACGGGGTCGACGAGGCCTAGGGAGAGCACCCGAGGGTCCATGGCCGCTGCCAGCAAGCGTGTGTTGACCCGACTCAAAACACATATGTCTCACGGGTGTGCGCTGGAGCTGGTGGTTGGCAACTCACTTGTGTTATCGACGGGGTCGACGAGGCCTAGGGAGAGCACCCGAGGGTCCATGGCCGCTGCCAGCAAGCGTGTGTTGACCCGACTCAAAACACATATGTCTCACGGGTGTGCGCTGGAGCTGGTGGTTGGCAGCTCACTTGTGTTATCGACGGGGTCGACGAGGCCTAGGGAGAGCACCCGAGGGTCCATGGCCGCTGCCAGCAAGCGTGTGTTGACCCGACTCAAAACACATATGTCTCACGGGTGTGCGCTGGAGCTGGTGGTTGGCAACTCACTTGTGTTATCGACGGGGTCGACGAGGCCTAGGGAGAGCACCCGAGGGTCCATGGCCGCTGCCAGCAAGCGTGTGTTGACCCGACTCAAAACACATATGTCTCACGGGTGTGCGCTGGAGCTGGTGGTTGGCAGCTCACTTGTGTTATCGACGGGGTCGACGAGGCCTAGGGAGAGCACCCGAGGGTCCATGGCCGCTGCCAGCAAGCGTGTGTTGACCCGACTCAAAACACATATGTCTCACGGGTGTGCGCTGGAGCTGGTGGTTGGCAACTCACTTGTGTTATCGACGGGGTCGACGAGGCCTAGGGAGAGCACCCGAGGGTCCATGGCCGCTGCCAGCAAGCGTGTGTTGACCCGACTCAAAACACATATGTCTCACGGGTGTGCGCTGGAGCTGGTGGTTGGCAGCTCACTTGTGTTATCGACGGGGTCGACGAGGCCTAGGGAGAGCACCCGAGGGTCCATGGCCGCTGCCAGCAAGCGTGTGTTGACCCGACTCAAAACACATATGTCTCACGGGTGTGCGCTGGAGCTGGTGGTTGGCAACTCACTTGTGTTATCGACGGGGTCGACGAGGCCTAGGGAGAGCACCCGAGGGTCCATGGCCGCTGCCAGCAAGCGTGTGTTGACCCGACTCAAAACACATATGTCTCACGGGTGTGCGCTGGAGCTGGTGGTTGGCAACTCACTTGTGTTATCGACGGGGTCGACGAGGCCTAGGGAGAGCACCCGAGGGTCCATGGCCGCTGCCAGCAAGCGTGTGTTGACCCGACTCAAAACACATATGTCTCACGGGTGTGCGCTGGAGCTGGTGGTTGGCAGCTCACTTGTGTTATCGACGGGGTCGACGAGGCCTAGGGAGAGCACCCGAGGGTCCATGGCCGCTGCCAGCAAGCGTGTGTTGACCCGACTCAAAACACATATGTCTCACGGGTGTGCGCTGGAGCTGGTGGTTGGCAGCTCACTTGTGTTATCGACGGGGTCGACGAGGCCTAGGGAGAGCACCCGAGGGTCCATGGCCGCTGCCAGCAAGCGTGTGTTGACCCGACTCAAAACACATATGTCTCACGGGTGTGCGCTGGAGCTGGTGGTTGGCAACTCACTTGTGTTATCGACGGGGTCGACGAGGCCTAGGGAGAGCACCCGAGGGTCCATGGCCGCTGCCAGCAAGCGTGTGTTGACCCGACTCAAAACACATATGTCTCACGGGTGTGCGCTGGAGCTGGTGGTTGGCAACTCACTTGTGTTATCGACGGGGTCGACGAGGCCTAGGGAGAGCACCCGAGGGTCCATGGCCGCTGCCAGCAAGCGTGTGTTGACCCGACTCAAAACACATATGTCTCACGGGTGTGCGCTGGAGCTGGTGGTTGGCAACTCACTTGTGTTATCGACGGGGTCGACGAGGCCTAGGGAGAGCACCCGAGGGTCCATGGCCGCTGCCAGCAAGCGTGTGTTGACCCGACTCAAAACACATATGTCTCACGGGTGTGCGCTGGAGCTGGTGGTTGGCAACTCACTTGTGTTATCGACGGGGTCGACGAGGCCTAGGGAGAGCACCCGAGGGTCCATGGCCGCTGCCAGCAAGCGTGTGTTGACCCGACTCAAAACACATATGTCTCACGGGTGTGCGCTGGAGCTGGTGGTTGGCAGCTCACTTGTGTTATCGACGGGGTCGACGAGGCCTAGGGAGAGCACCCGAGGGTCCATGGCCGCTGCCAGCAAGCGTGTGTTGACCCGACTCAAAACACATATGTCTCACGGGTGTGCGCTGGAGCTGGTGGTTGGCAACTCACTTGTGTTATCGACGGGGTCGACGAGGCCTAGGGAGAGCACCCGATGGTCCATGGCCGCTGCCAGCAAGCGTGTGTTGACCCGACTCAAAACACATATGTCTCACGGGTGTGCGCTGGAGCTGGTGGTTGGCAACTCACTTGTGTTATCGACGGGGTCGACGAGGCCTAGGGAGAGCACCCGAGGGTCCATGGCCGCTGCCAGCAAGCGTGTGTTGACCCGACTCAAAACACATATGTCTCACGGGTGTGCGCTGGAGCTGGTGGTTGGCAACTCACTTGTGTTATCGACGGGGTCGACGAGGCCTAGGGAGAGCACCCGAGGGTCCATGGCCGCTGCCAGCAAGCGTGTGTTGACCCGACTCAAAACACATATGTCTCACGGGTGTGCGCTGGAGCTGGTGGTTGGCAACTCACTTGTGTTATCGACGGGGTCGACGAGGCCTAGGGAGAGCACCCGAGGGTCCATGGCCGCTGCCAGCAAGCGTGTGTTGACCCGACTCAAAACACATATGTCTCACGGGTGTGCGCTGGAGCTGGTGGTTGGCAGCTCACTTGTGTTATCGACGGGGTCGACGAGGCCTAGGGAGAGCACCCGAGGGTCCATGGCCGCTGCCAGCAAGCGTGTGTTGACCCGACTCAAAACACATATGTCTCACGGGTGTGCGCTGGAGCTGGTGGTTGGCAGCTCACTTGTGTTATCGACGGGGTCGACGAGGCCTAGGGAGAGCACCCGAGGGTCCATGGCCGCTGCCAGCAAGCGTGTGTTGACCCGACTCAAAACACATATGTCTCACGGGTGTGCGCTGGAGCTGGTGGTTGGCAACTCACTTGTGTTATCGACGGGGTCGACGAGGCCTAGGGAGAGCACCCGAGGGTCCATGGCCGCTGCCAGCAAGCGTGTGTTGACCCGACTCAAAACACATATGTCTCACGGGTGTGCGCTGGAGCTGGTGGTTGGCAACTCACTTGTGTTATCGACGGGGTCGACGAGGCCTAGGGAGAGCACCCGAGGGTCCATGGCCGCTGCCAGCAAGCGTGTGTTGACCCGACTCAAAACACATATGTCTCACGGGTGTGCGCTGGAGCTGGTGGTTGGCAACTCACTTGTGTTATCGACGGGGTCGACGAGGCCTAGGGAGAGCACCCGAGGGTCCATGGCCGCTGCCAGCAAGCGTGTGTTGACCCGACTCAAAACACATATGTCTCACGGGTGTGCGCTGGAGCTGGTGGTTGGCAGCTCACTTGTGTTATCGACGGGGTCGACGAGGCCTAGGGAGAGCACCCGAGGGTCCATGGCCGCTGCCAGCAAGCGTGTGTTGACCCGACTCAAAACACATATGTCTCACGGGTGTGCGCTGGAGCTGGTGGTTGGCAAGCTCACTTGTGTTATCGACGGGGTCGACGAGGCCTAGGGAGAGCACCCGAGGGTCCATGGCCGCTGCCAGCAAGCGTGTGTTGACCCGACTCAAAACACATATGTCTCACGGGTGTGCGCTGGAGCTGGTGGTTGGCAACTCACTTGTGTTATCGACGGGGTCGAGAGGCCTAGGGAGAGCACCCGAGGGTCCATGGCCGCTGCCAGCAAGCGTGTGTTGACCCGACTCAAAACACATATGTCTCACGGGTGTGCGCTGGAGCTGGTGGTTGGCAACTCACTTGTGTTATCGACGGGGTCGACGAGGCCTAGGGAGAGCACCCGAGGGTCCATGGCCGCTGCCAGCAAGCGTGTGTTGACCCGACTCAAAACACATATGTCTCACGGGTGTGCGCTGGAGCTGGTGGTTGGCAACTCACTTGTGTTATCGACGGGGTCGACGAGGCCTAGGGAGAGCACCCGAGGGTCCATGGCCGCTGCCAGCAAGCGTGTGTTGACCCGACTCAAAACACATATGTCTCACGGGTGTGCGCTGGAGCTGGTGGTTGGCAGCTCACTTGTGTTATCGACGGGGTCGACGAGGCCTAGGGAGAGCACCCGAGGGTCCATGGCCGCTGCCAGCAAGCGTGTGTTGACCCGACTCAAAACACATATGTCTCACGGGTGTGCGCTGGAGCTGGTGGTTGGCAACTCACTTGTGTTATCGACGGGGTCGACGAGGCCTAGGGAGAGCACCCGAGGGTCCATGGCCGCTGCCAGCAAGCGTGTGTTGACCCGACTCAAAACACATATGTCTCACGGGTGTGCGCTGGAGCTGGTGGTTGGCAGCTCACTTGTGTTATCGACGGGGTCGACGAGGCCTAGGGAGAGCACCCGAGGGTCCATGGCCGCTGCCAGCAAGCGTGTGTTGACCCGACTCAAAACACATATGTCTCACGGGTGTGCGCTGGAGCTGGTGGTTGGCAACTCACTTGTGTTATCGACGGGGTCGAGAGGCCTAGGGAGAGCACCCAATGGTCCATGGCCGCTGCCAGCAAGCGTGTGTTGACCCGACTCAAAACACATATGTCTCACGGGTGTGCGCTGGAGCTGGTGGTTGGCAACTCACTTGTGTTATCGACGGGGTCGACGAGGCCTAGGGAGAGCACCCGAGGGTCCATGGCCGCTGCCAGCAAGCGTGTGTTGACCCGACTCAAAACACATATGTCTCACGGGTGTGCGCTGGAGCTGGTGGTTGGCAACTCACTTGTGTTATCGACGGGGTCGACGAGGCCTAGGGAGAGCACCCGAGGGTCCATGGCCGCTGCCAGCAAGCGTGTGTTGACCCGACTCAAAACACATATGTCTCACGGGTGTGCGCTGGAGCTGGTGGTTGGCAACTCACTTGTGTTATCGACGGGGTCGACGAGGCCTAGGGAGAGCACCCGAGGGTCCATGGCCGCTGCCAGCAAGCGTGTGTTGACCCGACTCAAAACACATATGTCTCACGGGTGTGCGCTGGAGCTGGTGGTTGGCAGCTCACTTGTGTTATCGACGGGGTCGACGAGGCCTAGGGAGAGCACCCGAGGGTCCATGGCCGCTGCCAGCAAGCGTGTGTTGACCCGACTCAAAACACATATGTCTCACGGGTGTGCGCTGGAGCTGGTGGTTGGCAACTCACTTGTGTTATCGACGGGGTCGACGAGGCCTAGGGAGAGCACCCGAGGGTCCATGGCCGCTGCCAGCAAGCGTGTGTTGACCCGACTCAAAACACATATGTCTCACGGGTGTGCGCTGGAGCTGGTGGTTGGCAACTCACTTGTGTTATCGACGGGGTCGAGAGGCCTAGGGAGAGCACCCGAGGGTCCATGGCCGCTGCCAGCAAGCGTGTGTTGACCCGACTCAAAACACATATGTCTCACGGGTGTGCGCTGGAGCTGGTGGTTGGCAACTCACTTGTGTTATCGACGGGGTCGACGAGGCCTAGGGAGAGCACCCGAGGGTCCATGGCCGCTGCCAGCAAGCGTGTGTTGACCCGACTCAAAACACATATGTCTCACGGGTGTGCGCTGGAGCTGGTGGTTGGCAACTCACTTGTGTTATCGACGGGGTCGACGAGGCCTAGGGAGAGCACCCGAGGGTCCATGGCCGCTGCCAGCAAGCGTGTGTTGACCCGACTCAAAACACATATGTCTCACGGGTGTGCGCTGGAGCTGGTGGTTGGCAGCTCACTTGTGTTATCGACGGGGTCGACGAGGCCTAGGGAGAGCACCCGAGGGTCCATGGCCGCTGCCAGCAAGCGTGTGTTGACCCGACTCAAAACACATATGTCTCACGGGTGTGCGCTGGAGCTGGTGGTTGGCAGCTCACTTGTGTTATCGACGGGGTCGACGAGGCCTAGGGAGAGCACCCGAGGGTCCATGGCCGCTGCCAGCAAGCGTGTGTTGACCCGACTCAAAACACATATGTCTCACGGGTGTGCGCTGGAGCTGGTGGTTGGCAACTCACTTGTGTTATCGACGGGGTCGAGAGGCCTAGGGAGAGCACCCGAGGGTCCATGGCCGCTGCCAGCAAGCGTGTGTTGACCCGACTCAAAACACATATGTCTCACGGGTGTGCGCTGGAGCTGGTGGTTGGCAACTCACTTGTGTTATCGACGGGGTCGACGAGGCCTAGGGAGAGCACCCGAGGGTCCATGGCCGCTGCCAGCAAGCGTGTGTTGACCCGACTCAAAACACATATGTCTCACGGGTGTGCGCTGGAGCTGGTGGTTGGCAACTCACTTGTGTTATCGACGGGGTCGACGAGGCCTAGGGAGAGCACCCGAGGGTCCATGGCCGCTGCCAGCAAGCGTGTGTTGACCCGACTCAAAACACATATGTCTCACGGGTGTGCGCTGGAGCTGGTGGTTGGCAGCTCACTTGTGTTATCGACGGGGTCGACGAGGCCTAGGGAGAGCACCCGAGGGTCCATGGCCGCTGCCAGCAAGCGTGTGTTGACCCGACTCAAAACACATATGTCTCACGGGTGTGCGCTGGAGCTGGTGGTTGGCAGCTCACTTGTGTTATCGACGGGGTCGACGAGGCCTAGGGAGAGCACCCGAGGGTCCATGGCCGCTGCCAGCAAGCGTGTGTTGACCCGACTCAAAACACATATGTCTCACGGGTGTGCGCTGGAGCTGGTGGTTGGCAACTCACTTGTGTTATCGACGGGGTCGACGAGGCCTAGGGAGAGCACCCGAGGGTCCATGGCCGCTGCCAGCAAGCGTGTGTTGACCCGACTCAAAACACATATGTCTCACGGGTGTGCGCTGGAGCTGGTGGTTGGCAGCTCACTTGTGTTATCGACGGGGTCGACGAGGCCTAGGGAGAGCACCCGAGGGTCCATGGCCGCTGCCAGCAAGCGTGTGTTGACCCGACTCAAAACACATATGTCTCACGGGTGTGCGCTGGAGCTGGTGGTTGGCAACTCACTTGTGTTATCGACGGGGTCGACGAGGCCTAGGGAGAGCACCCGAGGGTCCATGGCCGCTGCCAGCAAGCGTGTGTTGACCCGACTCAAAACACATATGTCTCACGGGTGTGCGCTGGAGCTGGTGGTTGGCAACTCACTTGTGTTATCGACGGGGTCGAGAGGCCTAGGGAGAGCACCCGAGGGTCCATGGCCGCTGCCAGCAAGCGTGTGTTGACCCGACTCAAAACACATATGTCTCACGGGTGTGCGCTGGAGCTGGTGGTTGGCAACTCACTTGTGTTATCGACGGGGTCGACGAGGCCTAGGGAGAGCACCCGAGGGTCCATGGCCGCTGCCAGCAAGCGTGTGTTGACCCGACTCAAAACACATATGTCTCACGGGTGTGCGCTGGAGCTGGTGGTTGGCAACTCACTTGTGTTATCGACGGGGTCGACGAGGCCTAGGGAGAGCACCCGAGGGTCCATGGCCGCTGCCAGCAAGCGTGTGTTGACCCGACTCAAAACACATATGTCTCACGGGTGTGCGCTGGAGCTGGTGGTTGGCAACTCACTTGTGTTATCGACGGGGTCGACGAGGCCTAGGGAGAGCACCCGAGGGTCCATGGCCGCTGCCAGCAAGCGTGTGTTGACCCGACTCAAAACACATATGTCTCACGGGTGTGCGCTGGAGCTGGTGGTTGGCAACTCACTTGTGTTATCGACGGGGTCGACGAGGCCTAGGGAGAGCACCCGAGGGTCCATGGCCGCTGCCAGCAAGCGTGTGTTGACCCGACTCAAAACACATATGTCTCACGGGTGTGCGCTGGAGCTGGTGGTTGGCAGCTCACTTGTGTTATCGACGGGGTCGACGAGGCCTAGGGAGAGCACCCGAGGGTCCATGGCCGCTGCCAGCAAGCGTGTGTTGACCCGACTCAAAACACATATGTCTCACGGGTGTGCGCTGGAGCTGGTGGTTGGCAACTCACTTGTGTTATCGACGGGGTCGACGAGGCCTAGGGAGAGCACCCGAGGGTCCATGGCCGCTGCCAGCAAGCGTGTGTTGACCCGACTCAAAACACATATGTCTCACGGGTGTGCGCTGGAGCTGGTGGTTGGCAGCTCACTTGTGTTATCGACGGGGTCGAGAGGCCTAGGGAGAGCACCCGAGGGTCCATGGCCGCTGCCAGCAAGCGTGTGTTGACCCGACTCAAAACACATATGTCTCACGGGTGTGCGCTGGAGCTGGTGGTTGGCAACTCACTTGTGTTATCGACGGGGTCGACGAGGCCTAGGGAGAGCACCCGAGGGTCCATGGCCGCTGCCAGCAAGCGTGTGTTGACCCGACTCAAAACACATATGTCTCACGGGTGTGCGCTGGAGCTGGTGGTTGGCAACTCACTTGTGTTATCGACGGGGTCGACGAGGCCTAGGGAGAGCACCCGAGGGTCCATGGCCGCTGCCAGCAAGCGTGTGTTGACCCGACTCAAAACACATATGTCTCACGGGTGTGCGCTGGAGCTGGTGGTTGGCAACTCACTTGTGTTATCGACGGGGTCGACGAGGCCTAGGGAGAGCACCCGAGGGTCCATGGCCGCTGCCAGCAAGCGTGTGTTGACCCGACTCAAAACACATATGTCTCACGGGTGTGCGCTGGAGCTGGTGGTTGGCAACTCACTTGTGTTATCGACGGGGTCGACGAGGCCTAGGGAGAGCACCCGAGGGTCCATGGCCGCTGCCAGCAAGCGTGTGTTGACCCGACTCAAAACACATATGTCTCACGGGTGTGCGCTGGAGCTGGTGGTTGGCAACTCACTTGTGTTATCGACGGGGTCGACGAGGCCTAGGGAGAGCACCCGAGGGTCCATGGCCGCTGCCAGCAAGCGTGTGTTGACCCGACTCAAAACACATATGTCTCACGGGTGTGCGCTGGAGCTGGTGGTTGGCAGCTCACTTGTGTTATCGACGGGGTCGACGAGGCCTAGGGAGAGCACCCGAGGGTCCATGGCCGCTGCCAGCAAGCGTGTGTTGACCCGACTCAAAACACATATGTCTCACGGGTGTGCGCTGGAGCTGGTGGTTGGCAACTCACTTGTGTTATCGACGGGGTCGACGAGGCCTAGGGAGAGCACCCGAGGGTCCATGGCCGCTGCCAGCAAGCGTGTGTTGACCCGACTCAAAACACATATGTCTCACGGGTGTGCGCTGGAGCTGGTGGTTGGCAACTCACTTGTGTTATCGACGGGGTCGAGAGGCCTAGGGAGAGCACCCGAGGGTCCATGGCCGCTGCCAGCAAGCGTGTGTTGACCCGACTCAAAACACATATGTCTCACGGGTGTGCGCTGGAGCTGGTGGTTGGCAACTCACTTGTGTTATCGACGGGGTCGACGAGGCCTAGGGAGAGCACCCGAGGGTCCATGGCCGCTGCCAGCAAGCGTGTGTTGACCCGACTCAAAACACATATGTCTCACGGGTGTGCGCTGGAGCTGGTGGTTGGCAACTCACTTGTGTTATCGACGGGGTCGACGAGGCCTAGGGAGAGCACCCGAGGGTCCATGGCCGCTGCCAGCAAGCGTGTGTTGACCCGACTCAAAACACATATGTCTCACGGGTGTGCGCTGGAGCTGGTGGTTGGCAACTCACTTGTGTTATCGACGGGGTCGACGAGGCCTAGGGAGAGCACCCGAGGGTCCATGGCCGCTGCCAGCAAGCGTGTGTTGACCCGACTCAAAACACATATGTCTCACGGGTGTGCGCTGGAGCTGGTGGTTGGCAACTCACTTGTGTTATCGACGGGGTCGACGAGGCCTAGGGAGAGCACCCGAGGGTCCATGGCCGCTGCCAGCAAGCGTGTGTTGACCCGACTCAAAACACATATGTCTCACGGGTGTGCGCTGGAGCTGGTGGTTGGCAGCTCACTTGTGTTATCGACGGGGTCGACGAGGCCTAGGGAGAGCACCCGAGGGTCCATGGCCGCTGCCAGCAAGCGTGTGTTGACCCGACTCAAAACACATATGTCTCACGGGTGTGCGCTGGAGCTGGTGGTTGGCAACTCACTTGTGTTATCGACGGGGTCGACGAGGCCTAGGGAGAGCACCCGAGGGTCCATGGCCGCTGCCAGCAAGCGTGTGTTGACCCGACTCAAAACACATATGTCTCACGGGTGTGCGCTGGAGCTGGTGGTTGGCAACTCACTTGTGTTATCGACGGGGTCGAGAGGCCTAGGGAGAGCACCCGAGGGTCCATGGCCGCTGCCAGCAAGCGTGTGTTGACCCGACTCAAAACACATATGTCTCACGGGTGTGCGCTGGAGCTGGTGGTTGGCAACTCACTTGTGTTATCGACGGGGTCGACGAGGCCTAGGGAGAGCACCCGAGGGTCCATGGCCGCTGCCAGCAAGCGTGTGTTGACCCGACTCAAAACACATATGTCTCACGGGTGTGCGCTGGAGCTGGTGGTTGGCAACTCACTTGTGTTATCGACGGGGTCGACGAGGCCTAGGGAGAGCACCCGAGGGTCCATGGCCGCTGCCAGCAAGCGTGTGTTGACCCGACTCAAAACACATATGTCTCACGGGTGTGCGCTGGAGCTGGTGGTTGGCAACTCACTTGTGTTATCGACGGGGTCGACGAGGCCTAGGGAGAGCACCCGAGGGTCCATGGCCGCTGCCAGCAAGCGTGTGTTGACCCGACTCAAAACACATATGTCTCACGGGTGTGCGCTGGAGCTGGTGGTTGGCAACTCACTTGTGTTATCGACGGGGTCGACGAGGCCTAGGGAGAGCACCCGAGGGTCCATGGCCGCTGCCAGCAAGCGTGTGTTGACCCGACTCAAAACATATATGTCTCACGGGTGTGCGCTGGAGCTGGTGGTTGGCAACTCACTTGTGTTATCGACGGGGTCGACGAGGCCTAGGGAGAGCACCCGAGGGTCCATGGCCGCTGCCAGCAAGCGTGTGTTGACCCGACTCAAAACACATATGTCTCACGGGTGTGCGCTGGAGCTGGTGGTTGGCAACTCACTTGTGTTATCGACGGGGTCGACGAGGCCTAGGGAGAGCACCCGAGGGTCCATGGCCGCTGCCAGCAAGCGTGTGTTGACCCGACTCAAAACACATATGTCTCACGGGTGTGCGCTGGAGCTGGTGGTTGGCAACTCACTTGTGTTATCGACGGGGTCGACGAGGCCTAGGGAGAGCACCCGAGGGTCCATGGCCGCTGCCAGCAAGCGTGTGTTGACCCGACTCAAAACACATATGTCTCACGGGTGTGCGCTGGAGCTGGTGGTTGGCAACTCACTTGTGTTATCGACGGGGTCGACGAGGCCTAGGGAGAGCACCCGAGGGTCCATGGCCGCTGCCAGCAAGCGTGTGTTGACCCGACTCAAAACACATATGTCTCACGGGTGTGCGCTGGAGCTGGTGGTTGGCAACTCACTTGTGTTATCGACGGGGTCGACGAGGCCTAGGGAGAGCACCCGAGGGTCCATGGCCGCTGCCAGCAAGCGTGTGTTGACCCGACTCAAAACACATATGTCTCACGGGTGTGCGCTGGAGCTGGTGGTTGGCAACTCACTTGTGTTATCGACGGGGTCGACGAGGCCTAGGGAGAGCACCCGAGGGTCCATGGCCGCTGCCAGCAAGCGTGTGTTGACCCGACTCAAAACACATATGTCTCACGGGTGTGCGCTGGAGCTGGTGGTTGGCAGCTCACTTGTGTTATCGACGGGGTCGACGAGGCCTAGGGAGAGCACCCGAGGGTCCATGGCCGCTGCCAGCAAGCGTGTGTTGACCCGACTCAAAACACATATGTCTCACGGGTGTGCGCTGGAGCTGGTGGTTGGCAACTCACTTGTGTTATCGACGGGGTCGAGAGGCCTAGGGAGAGCACCCGAGGGTCCATGGCCGCTGCCAGCAAGCGTGTGTTGACCCGACTCAAAACACATATGTCTCACGGGTGTGCGCTGGAGCTGGTGGTTGGCAGCTCACTTGTGTTATCGACGGGGTCGACGAGGCCTAGGGAGAGCACCCGAGGGTCCATGGCCGCTGCCAGCAAGCGTGTGTTGACCCGACTCAAAACACATATGTCTCACGGGTGTGCGCTGGAGCTGGTGGTTGGCAACTCACTTGTGTTATCGACGGGGTCGAGAGGCCTAGGGAGAGCACCCGATGGTCCATGGCCGCTGCCAGCAAGCGTGTGTTGACCCGACTCAAAACACATATGTCTCACGGGTGTGCGCTGGAGCTGGTGGTTGGCAGCTCACTTGTGTTATCGACGGGGTCGACGAGGCCTAGGGAGAGCACCCGAGGGTCCATGGCCGCTGCCAGCAAGCGTGTGTTGACCCGACTCAAAACACATATGTCTCACGGGTGTGCGCTGGAGCTGGTGGTTGGCAACTCACTTGTGTTATCGACGGGGTCGACGAGGCCTAGGGAGAGCACCCGAGGGTCCATGGCCGCTGCCAGCAAGCGTGTGTTGACCCGACTCAAAACACATATGTCTCACGGGTGTGCGCTGGAGCTGGTGGTTGGCAGCTCACTTGTGTTATCGACGGGGTCGACGAGGCCTAGGGAGAGCACCCGAGGGTCCATGGCCGCTGCCAGCAAGCGTGTGTTGACCCGACTCAAAACACATATGTCTCACGGGTGTGCGCTGGAGCTGGTGGTTGGCAACTCACTTGTGTTATCGACGGGGTCGACGAGGCCTAGGGAGAGCACCCGAGGGTCCATGGCCGCTGCCAGCAAGCGTGTGTTGACCCGACTCAAAACACATATGTCTCACGGGTGTGCGCTGGAGCTGGTGGTTGGCAGCTCACTTGTGTTATCGACGGGGTCGACGAGGCCTAGGGAGAGCACCCGAGGGTCCATGGCCGCTGCCAGCAAGCGTGTGTTGACCCGACTCAAAACACATATGTCTCACGGGTGTGCGCTGGAGCTGGTGGTTGGCAGCTCACTTGTGTTATCGACGGGGTCGACGAGGCCTAGGGAGAGCACCCGAGGGTCCATGGCCGCTGCCAGCAAGCGTGTGTTGACCCGACTCAAAACACATATGTCTCACGGGTGTGCGCTGGAGCTGGTGGTTGGCAGCTCACTTGTGTTATCGACGGGGTCGACGAGGCCTAGGGAGAGCACCCGAGGGTCCATGGCCGCTGCCAGCAAGCGTGTGTTGACCCGACTCAAAACACATATGTCTCACGGGTGTGCGCTGGAGCTGGTGGTTGGCAACTCACTTGTGTTATCGACGGGGTCGACGAGGCCTAGGGAGAGCACCCGAGGGTCCATGGCCGCTGCCAGCAAGCGTGTGTTGACCCGACTCAAAACACATATGTCTCACGGGTGTGCGCTGGAGCTGGTGGTTCGCAACTCACTTGTGTTATCGACGGGGTCGACGAGGCCTAGGGAGAGCACCCGAGGGTCCATGGCCGCTGCCAGCAAGCGTGTGTTGACCCGACTCAAAACACATATGTCTCACGGGTGTGCGCTGGAGCTGGTGGTTGGCAACTCACTTGTGTTATCGACGGGGTCGACGAGGCCTAGGGAGAGCACCCGAGGGTCCATGGCCGCTGCCAGCAAGCGTGTGTTGACCCGACTCAAAACACATATGTCTCACGGGTGTGCGCTGGAGCTGGTGGTTGGCAACTCACTTGTGTTATCGACGGGGTCGACGAGGCCTAGGGAGAGCACCCGAGGGTCCATGGCCGCTGCCAGCAAGCGTGTGTTGACCCGACTCAAAACACATATGTCTCACGGGTGTGCGCTGGAGCTGGTGGTTGGCAACTCACTTGTGTTATCGACGGGGTCGACGAGGCCTAGGGAGAGCACCCGAGGGTCCATGGCCGCTGCCAGCAAGCGTGTGTTGACCCGACTCAAAACACATATGTCTCACGGGTGTGCGCTGGAGCTGGTGGTTGGCAACTCACTTGTGTTATCGACGGGGTCGACGAGGCCTAGGGAGAGCACCCGAGGGTCCATGGCCGCTGCCAGCAAGCGTGTGTTGACCCGACTCAAAACACATATGTCTCACGGGTGTGCGCTGGAGCTGGTGGTTGGCAACTCACTTGTGTTATCGACGGGGTCGACGAGGCCTAGGGAGAGCACCCGAGGGTCCATGGCCGCTGCCAGCAAGCGTGTGTTGACCCGACTCAAAACACATATGTCTCACGGGTGTGCGCTGGAGCTGGTGGTTGGCAACTCACTTGTGTTATCGACGGGGTCGACGAGGCCTAGGGAGAGCACCCGAGGGTCCATGGCCGCTGCCAGCAAGCGTGTGTTGACCCGACTCAAAACACATATGTCTCACGGGTGTGCGCTGGAGCTGGTGGTTGGCAACTCACTTGTGTTATCGACGGGGTCGACGAGGCCTAGGGAGAGCACCCGAGGGTCCATGGCCGCTGCCAGCAAGCGTGTGTTGACCCGACTCAAAACACATATGTCTCACGGGTGTGCGCTGGAGCTGGTGGTTGGCAACTCACTTGTGTTATCGACGGGGTCGACGAGGCCTAGGGAGAGCACCCGAGGGTCCATGGCCGCTGCCAGCAAGCGTGTGTTGACCCGACTCAAAACACATATGTCTCACGGGTGTGCGCTGGAGCTGGTGGTTGGCAACTCACTTGTGTTATCGACGGGGTCGACGAGGCCTAGGGAGAGCACCCGAGGGTCCATGGCCGCTGCCAGCAAGCGTGTGTTGACCCGACTCAAAACACATATGTCTCACGGGTGTGCGCTGGAGCTGGTGGTTGGCAACTCACTTGTGTTATCGACGGGGTCGACGAGGCCTAGGGAGAGCACCCGAGGGTCCATGGCCGCTGCCAGCAAGCGTGTGTTGACCCGACTCAAAACACATATGTCTCACGGGTGTGCGCTGGAGCTGGTGGTTGGCAACTCACTTGTGTTATCGACGGGGTCGACGAGGCCTAGGGAGAGCACCCGAGGGTCCATGGCCGCTGCCAGCAAGCGTGTGTTGACCCGACTCAAAACACATATGTCTCACGGGTGTGCGCTGGAGCTGGTGGTTGGCAACTCACTTGTGTTATCGACGGGGTCGACGAGGCCTAGGGAGAGCACCCGAGGGTCCATGGCCGCTGCCAGCAAGCGTGTGTTGACCCGACTCAAAACACATATGTCTCACGGGTGTGCGCTGGAGCTGGTGGTTGGCAGCTCACTTGTGTTATCGACGGGGTCGACGAGGCCTAGGGAGAGCACCCGAGGGTCCATGGCCGCTGCCAGCAAGCGTGTGTTGACCCGACTCAAAACACATATGTCTCACGGGTGTGCGCTGGAGCTGGTGGTTGGCAACTCACTTGTGTTATCGACGGGGTCGACGAGGCCTAGGGAGAGCACCCGAGGGTCCATGGCCGCTGCCAGCAAGCGTGTGTTGACCCGACTCAAAACACATATGTCTCACGGGTGTGCGCTGGAGCTGGTGGTTGGCAACTCACTTGTGTTATCGACGGGGTCGACGAGGCCTAGGGAGAGCACCCGAGGGTCCATGGCCGCTGCCAGCAAGCGTGTGTTGACCCGACTCAAAACACATATGTCTCACGGGTGTGCGCTGGAGCTGGTGGTTGGCAGCTCACTTGTGTTATCGACGGGGTCGACGAGGCCTAGGGAGAGCACCCGAGGGTCCATGGCCGCTGCCAGCAAGCGTGTGTTGACCCGACTCAAAACACATATGTCTCATGGGTGTGCGCTGGAGCTGGTGGTTGGCAACTCACTTGTGTTATCGACGGGGTCGACGAGGCCTAGGGAGAGCACCCAAGGGTCCATGGCCGCTGCCAGCAAGCGTGTGTTGACCCGACTCAAAACACATATGTCTCACGGGTGTGCGCTGGAGCTGGTGGTTGGCAACTCACTTGTGTTATCGACGGGGTCGACGAGGCCTAGGGAGAGCACCCGAGGGTCCATGGCCGCTGCCAGCAAGCGTGTGTTGACCCGACTCAAAACACATATGTCTCACGGGTGTGCGCTGGAGCTGGTGGTTGGCAACTCACTTGTGTTATCGACGGGGTCGAGAGGCCTAGGGAGAGCACCCGATGGTCCATGGCCGCTGCCAGCAAGCGTGTGTTGACCCGACTCAAAACACATATGTCTCACGGGTGTGCGCTGGAGCTGGTGGTTGGCAACTCACTTGTGTTATCGACGGGGTCGACGAGGCCTAGGGAGAGCACCCGAGGGTCCATGGCCGCTGCCAGCAAGCGTGTGTTGACCCGACTCAAAACACATATGTCTCACGGGTGTGCGCTGGAGCTGGTGGTTGGCAACTCACTTGTGTTATCGACGGGGTCGACGAGGCCTAGGGAGAGCACCCGAGGGTCCATGGCCGCTGCCAGCAAGCGTGTGTTGACCCGACTCAAAACACATATGTCTCACGGGTGTGCGCTGGAGCTGGTGGTTGGCAACTCACTTGTGTTATCGACGGGGTCGACGAGGCCTAGGGAGAGCACCCGAGGGTCCATGGCCGCTGCCAGCAAGCGTGTGTTGACCCGACTCAAAACACATGTCTCACGGGTGTGCGCTGGAGCTGGTGGTTGGCAACTCACTTGTGTTATCGACGGGGTCGACGAGGCCTAGGGAGAGCACCCGAGGGTCCATGGCCGCTGCCAGCAAGCGTGTGTTGACCCGACTCAAAACACATATGTCTCACGGGTGTGCGCTGGAGCTGGTGGTTGGCAACTCACTTGTGTTATCGACGGGGTCGACGAGGCCTAGGGAGAGCACCCGAGGGTCCATGGCCGCTGCCAGCAAGCGTGTGTTGACCCGACTCAAAACACATATGTCTCACGGGTGTGCGCTGGAGCTGGTGGTTGGCAACTCACTTGTGTTATCGACGGGGTCGACGAGGCCTAGGGAGAGCACCCGAGGGTCCATGGCCGCTGCCAGCAAGCGTGTGTTGACCCGACTCAAAACACATATGTCTCACGGGTGTGCGCTGGAGCTGGTGGTTGGCAACTCACTTGTGTTATCGACGGGGTCGACGAGGCCTAGGGAGAGCACCCGAGGGTCCATGGCCGCTGCCAGCAAGCGTGTGTTGACCCGACTCAAAACACATATGTCTCACGGGTGTGCGCTGGAGCTGGTGGTTGGCAACTCACTTGTGTTATCGACAGGGTCGACGAGGCCTAGGGAGAGCACTCGAGGGTCCATGGCTGCTGCCAGCACGCTTGTGTTGAGTCGACTCAAAACACATACGTCTCATGAGTGTGCGCTGGAGCTGGTGGTTGGCAACTCACTTGTGTTATCGACAGGGTCGACGAGGCCTAGGGAGAGCACTCGAGGGTCCATGGCCGCTGCCAGCACGCTCACCTTGGCTGCTCACACGAGCACATGCACACATGCACAGGGGATGGATGGTTGTACGCATACATTGACAGGATTGCACACCACACACACACACAGAAACACACACGCACACACACGCGCGCGCACACACACACACGCGCGCGCACACACACACACGCGCGCGCACACACACACACACACACGCGCGCGCGCGCACACACACACACATCAAACAAGGGAAATCACTTCTCAATATAATGGCTGCTGCCAGCACGCTCACCTTGGCCGCACACAGTAGTGAAGATTGGGAGTAGAATGAAAAAGAAACAAACACATGGGGCACAGAGTCAACATTCTGCACACACGTGAAACTGAATCACACAGGAGTTCACAGCACAGAAATACAATCGTGAGAGGAGGTCTTACCTCCTCTAGAATGACCGCAGAGGTAGACGCGGGTGTTGTCTGCTATTCTGCGAAGCAAGTGACTGCAGAGGGGGAGCAAGCAGCCAGACAGGACGCCGAAAGAATCACAGCAGCTACAGCATGAGATTTTGTGTGTCTTTGCTATGAGCCACGGGCGAATCAACTCTAAGGTCAGAGCATCTGCACCATGACAGTTCTTGACGTTGAGCCAGACAAGACATCAAGCCTGACTGCTGCAGCTTGGCATCATAGAAAATGACCTTAACGAGAAAAACACAATGATGACGACAACGACGACGACAACGATGATGATGATGACATAACAGACTCACCTGGTGCCAGCCCAGTTGATGAGTTCTGTGATGAACCGCGCACAGATGATGTCGTCCAGAGGGCCCATCAGCCCCTCCACCTGCCATGCATGCAACACGTGATGTGGGTGTCAATCAGTCAATCAGTCGAACGGTTGGCTGTTCAATTGGACATTCAGCCAGAGACGGTGGTAAAAACAAGGACCGCACGAAGCAACAGTTGCCATGCTGATTAGCACGGGATCAAGCGAGTGTTGCTGCGCGCATTGTCTTCGCACATCAAAACCCCACCAGCCCTGGCTGAACTACCAGTTGATTGAAAGAAAGCACAAGAAAACTCATCAAAACGCCCCTGTACCGTACCTTATTGTAGGTGACTACAGCGAAGCCCCAGCTGGCGAGGTGGTGGGCGTAGCTGCGGTACTGAGCCGAGTCCAGCAGGAACCCGCTGCTGAACACTGCTAGGGGGAACTTGTCCTCCTGTGGGGGGGCCATGGGGGGAGAGGAGCAAGACAGCAGCGAAGAAATGTGACTAATAGGTGATGGGCGTAGCTGCGGTACTGAGCAGAGTCCAGCAGGAACCCGCTGCTGAACACCGCCAGGGGGAACTTGTCCTCCTGTGGGGCGAGAAGCAAGACAGCAAAGAAGACAGCAGCGAAGAAAGGTGGCCAAGAGTGTGGGAGAGGCACGAGGTACAGAATAGGGGACGGCAGAGCCGGGGAAGGGGTTGACAAAGGGGTTAGGTGGTCAGCCTAAGGAAAGAGAGGAGGGGGATGGGGAGCACAGGCATAGTACGAAGAAAGAGGGAGCGTGGTTATAAGGTAACGAATGACCGACCCGTAACGAGTATTGAGGCGTCCATGACGTGTGCCGCATCCTCGCTGGGTACGTCACCGTTATCCGCAACAAGCAGCCCCCTGCTGCGCAGTCCGGGAAGCAGGATGCACACGTGTGCTCCTGATGGTACAGATTCTCCACATCGTACGGTCCGAATTCGCTGAATCTCTTCTCCGCGATCAACCCCTCGTGAACAGGAACGAGCCGGGCAGCGGACCCCGCTTCAGACACCCAAAGGCCTTGTTTGTCGTCTAGCAGGCTGCTCAACTCCCCAGGGAGAGAGTCAACATCTGGCTGTAACGGTAACGGTAAGGGAGTCGCGTTACCCGAACCCTGGATAGACCATCGCCGGCCCTTGTTACTGCGTAACGGCCGGCCTGCTCTGTCGCCTCCACCTTCTAAAAGAATCCCTGCGCCGGCTAATGTGGCTCCACCAAGTAAGAACCTTCGGGGTATCGCTCGTGAGCTATCCTGCTTAGCATCAGCAACAGACCGAGCTTCCGCTCGTGCAAAGTCACGCGGTAATCGTGAATCTTCCAAGTCTTGTGGGTATTGTTGTGAATCCTGAGACCCCAAGTTGGTGGCAGGAGCGCTCTCTCTTAGGGTGTTGCGGTCTGACTCGTTGCTGCCTTCTGCACGTAGAGAGGAGAAAATGAAGGGTGTCATCGAGTGAAATGCGAAAGCAGGAATGGAGGCTCAAAATGACCGACACACAAATCGTCCGAAGTGCCGATTACCTGATGACGTCGAGGAGTCATTTGCTGAACATCTTAATCTTCTAAAAGCGTGAGTGTAGCCTCGAGAGTGAGAGAAGTTTTTATGGAAAGATTCTGATCGAGACCTGGACAGAGCGGTGGAAAAGCTGTTAGGCAGAGTAACAAACTTCTGTGCGATCGCAAAATCCATGACGCAGTGGAAGCGTCTTCGTTTCGTAATGCGGCGAACGTCGTCAGAAAAGCTCGAGTACGCAAATATATAGCAGCTCCCCTAGAGCCTCCTCAAGTCAGAAGAGATCGAGAGATCCCCGTCACAGAGGTGGTCGTCTTGGGTGCTACACACAGGCACCTCGACTCTTTGTTGGCAAGAAACGCTTGCGCCGTGCTGACTAACGCAAGGACGTGTGGCTCAAACTGGGGCCCTCGTCGACATGGTTTAGCCATGGCGGCACGGTCTGACCATAGCACTTCTCCTCTGCAAATCCCTCTTTCTTGAACCCCATGAACGACCTCTACAAGAAACTGGGAACAGAATGCGCATTGTAACTGGGTTTCTACCGTACACTCCATAGTTTTCAGGACTGGTTTCTGAAAGCCAAGCGTACCTGCCGTTTGCTAGGTTCTGTATACCAGTTGCGACAGAACTGACACTTACGACCCCAGGTCCACGAAACAAATCTATGAGAAAGTTTATCTAATGAGAAAGTTGGTCGATGTCTACCCATGCGGGTTCTCCAATTCAAATCCAGCCAATCGCAGCACCTCAAATCAGAAGCCCCTTTCGAGGTTTCCAACAGCTGGTGCAGGATTTCGCGGACTTGTGGCAAGTTTTTCGCCTGTTTTTGTTACCACCTTCACACGAATCCTCCCCCAACCGAACAAATCAAACCAGCCCGTAAAAATGTCCCCACAAGGCTGAGAATCGCTTACGTGGCGGATCCTACCCATATCTGTTCCTGAAAGACTGGCTACGGAAGAATCGGCCACGTCACAACTCCATCACGGCACATCTATTCCCCATCCATCCCATGTGCGATGTCCCGCGCTCCAACACCAGCGGCCCCTATCGATCAATGCACCTTCTACATCATTGCTTTCGTTCCTTCCCTTTCCTTTCCCTCTTCCACAGGCCACAACACACTCCCCAGCATCCCTCCCCTCACACACCTCCCCCCTCTATTCGCTCCTCCACTCAATCCGCTCGTGACAAGTCTTGTGACCTGTCCCATGCCTGTGTGGTCGCACGTCCCTGCCACAGTCCTGCGGTTCGGTTCGATTCCTTAGTCCAGGGGGACTTGGCTTGGGTTTCTCTTCCAGCAGGAGCAAGTGTCATTTGTTAGCTACGATTCGAGTGACTGCAATTGATGGTTAGTTTGAGCCTCGGGTAGTGGAATTGTTGAGTGAGATCTGCTTGCGGGTTTCCTAGTTCTCACTCAGCCGCTCCCTATCCGAGTGCTTTTAACTATTAATCGATAAGTAGTGGTTCGCGTTACTCTGAAAGCGGCGGCGCCCTTCCGAGCAGCTCCAGGAATCTAGTATTCTGCAGATTCGAAATTCTAGTTCAAATGTCAACAGGCCTTTCCCATGCAGGACTCCGTTGCAGACTCAACCAGAAGAGGTTCCCAGCAGATACTCAACGCAGGTGTCGCCGACGTGCAGAGACATCATTTAGGTTCTCACCTCTTGAGTACTCGTACCCCCACAACTCTCGCCAATGCCTGGATCATCGAAAGCACCTACAACCTACAGTGGTCAGCACTCCAGCCCTTGCCCCGCTGTTGATATCTCGCTTGTTGTCTCGAGAAGGCACTTATAGTTATCATGGATGGATTTTTACTCGTTTCAGGTCTCGGGACTTGGCGAGCCTGCGAAATTCTGTCCCTCGAGACTTCACATTTCGGACATGACAGGAAGCACACCGGCACTAGTTGTGTCAGAAGCCGCTGGTCTCTTACCTCGTGTATATACAGTGACACATGACGACATGACGGCTGACCTATTTTTGACGATTAGTTCAGCCGTTGACGTCAAACAGGTGTGTAACTGCACCCCCCTTCCCCACCCCCCCACCCTCCCACTTCCCCCTCCCCCCCCCCCCCTCTCCCCCCCCCCCCCCCTTTTTTTCCGCAAATGTCGAGTTAGAATCTTACCCCTTTTTTTTTCCTTGGTCAGCTAGATGGATGGTCATCGAAACTCTTCCGCGACGAAGTCGTAGGGGAGTGGAAAGTACGACAAACGGCCGAAGACGAAGTTCAATATTCCTTACATCTTCACTGTCATGTTAGCGGCTCTCATTCATTCCTCGCACCCCCCGTCATCCGAAGCTGGATATTTGAAAGAGAAATGCCATTGGTGAGCACCATAATGTTTTGTTTGATCTACTGATGAAGCTTGTCGTTTGAGGCCCAGTTGACTAACCCTAACATGTATTATTGTCTCCGCCAACAGGTTTTGGAGTCCATCATGTACGCTGAAAAGCCTTTGCTCGCTTCTCATCCAGGTAAGCACTTCACTAGATTGTGTACTTCACCATTGTGTTAACCTACTCATGGATCTTGTGCTTCAGCAATGTGTGAACCCACTCATATCTTACTTCGTAACTGGTTGCAGATCTTACCGCCGCAACTGTATGGATCCACTACCACTCCCACTCGCCCAGCTTCGACAGAGCAGATTGCTGGGGTCCTCTGCACAGCAGTCTATCGCGTTCCAGGGATGACGCGACTCTACTAGACGTTTTGGGCATCTGTTTAAGAGACTTGTTTCGCTGGCCATTTGACAGCCCAGACGTTCCGAGTGCTCCCGCCCCAGCCTTACCCCTTCAACCGCAGTACAATCCCATTAGACAGCCCCGTCCACAAACGCTGGCTCTGATTTCCAGAAAACACCCAGAGCAAGTGTTTGTTCCCCTGGTTCTGGGTTTCGTGTATGTTGTGAATTGTGTTTTTCTCATGAACGTTCTTGCTGCCACAATGCAGTGAGAAAAAATCAATTTGTTGATAGAACCTTGCGGTTGCTGCTGCAATTATGGTGATAAACGAGTTATTTGTTCCAAGCCCCGATTCCGTTGTACCGGTAATTGATGAATACAATGTTGTTGAATGGGCATACTTTGGCTAACCAGGTCCTGGGAGTCCAGGAACATGGTTATTTGGTGCTGCTACCATTGAAGCATGGTTTATTTGGTTTGTTGTACATGTGAAAAACTGTACCGTAGTACTGCAGTGCCTTAACACATAGTTAGTAACATAGTTACCTACATTTACAGCCCATTCGTCATGGTTCATGACTCATGAGTCATAATGGTTCCGTGCGGTAGAGAGAGGTCCTAGGTCTGTTTCTGACCTTGACGCAATGACTAGACCGCAAAGAAAGTTTAGGAGGCGCTTGAGTCATGACCTACCAACCATAGCATAGCTGGTGGCTGGAGTCCTCATTCATGGTAACATCATCAGTTCTAACACACATTCAGGCAACTGACAAAGCAATTCTCCAGAAAAACCACTTGTTTATTGAAAACAGCCCACCACACCTCAATTCCCAGTATGCAGCAATACTAAGTCTATGGTACACTAGTTTCCCACCCCCAACAAAAAACGTTCACTAAACGAAGCCTGCAAGGCCAACAGCTGTTTAGGCCCAGCAACAGAATAAATTCAAATGCTGCAACTCAGACAATTCCCAGTGGATGACTCTGCTTCAAACCACAGAGCTTGGCGGCCCTGCATCGACAGCAGGTGGAGAACCGCAGAGCATAGAGGAGCATACTACAACATTGAAAAGTAGCTCAGAACAGCAGAGAAACGACCATGGGACATAGCTGGGTGGGGCGCAGAAGAGCGTGTTGAGGGACATGGGACGGAATGAAGAACACTACGAGGAGCATTGAACCCTACTTGAGGAACATGGAATAGCTATTAGATGAAAAATGGGCAGGATTGGAGACAAACGTAAGATATATTGATGTGATTAATTTAACTTCGTGCATAAATTGCAAGCTGTTGGAAAAACCGAAAGTTTATATTAGCATTCCCAGAGGTATTGCTATAACAGTGACGTACCACAGTCAAATCCAATGAACGCGAGGGAGCTGCTGCAGCGGGTGCGAGCGCAGAAGTCGAACGAAGTGTCCTCTACTGCTGCCTTGAGCGGCGCAAAGCCCGCTGGACAAGAGCAGGTCGGGGGCGATCCGTAAGCGGGAGATGTGCAGAGCGCTTCCACGGGGCATGCTGCCGGCACCATGCACTTGCGGGTAACTGGAATGGGGGGAATGAAGGAAGGAGCAGGGAGCAGGAGGGAGCAGCAGGTAGCCACAGGGAGCGAAGGAAAACGGCGAGTAGAGGAGTTTGAGAGAAGATCAAGATCTTTTCTGATGGGAGGAACTGGGACAAGGTTGTGAAAGGTGCGACGGGGATGGGTTGTAGCAGGGGGTGAGGAGATTGATGGGAGATGGGATTTGGTACGTGTGGGTTGTTGGAATAATGATACAAGTGAAGGACGGGTTGCTCCCACTTAGAGAAGAGGTGGAGATATGCGTGTGTATAGATGCATAATCAACATGGGAAGATGCTGTAATGGAGACATATGTGTGAATACTGCATCCAAGCAACATATCAGCTGATACGCTGAAGTGCGTAACATTGGGGAGGGAACACACAATGGCGAGAGAACATTGATTGGCGAGAGAACAATCACTCGGATCACAAGATGAGAACTTCGGTTGGCGAGTGCACAAAGACTGGCGAAAGTAAATTCGCGATTTACTTACTCGTGCACGACGGCGACCCAGCCTCGCGAAGGCACGAGCATCCTCCCACGTCCAGCGCGTCTTGGCACACGAGCCGCGTCAAGCACTTCTGCCGCACCCCCAGCTTGCAAGTCGCCGCGCCTGAGAATTCACATGGAACAAAGGGGAAAAGGGAACGAGACGAATTAAAAAACAATACATTCGTTCAGAAGGGGCAAATGAAAAGATTCAAACACACGCCTGCGCGAATGTGGGCGTTAACTGCAACGAGAAAAAGTGATCGGTTAACGAAGCGACGAGAATGAGGGTCGGGGAAGAGGTGCACGGCAATGGGGTGACGAGGGAAACATCGGGGAGCGTAAACGTAAACTGTAATGCTATGTACGCATCTTGCATGAAGGAAAACAAAAAAGTACTCAACAAGCGATGGACCGTGTGAAGTCAGTCAACTGCGTACCTGACGCGCCAAACACATCAGCTGATAGCGAGGACGCGGTCGACCCTCCACCTCCGCTCCCACTCTTGGACATAGACTTTTTCTTCTTGGGCGGCTTTTTCTTGGGCTTCTTAACAGGGGCTTTCTTAGGGGGAGGCGGAGCGGGGGGAGGCGGACTGCGGGGAGGCGGCGAGGCGGCAACTGCGGGCGGCGGTGGCGAACTGGCAGTGGCGGAAGGATCTGGGTCGGCTCCAACGGAAAGGTCCGCGGAAGCTTCTTTGGCGCCTGGCGGAGAGAGAACGCCGGACGCGGAAGGCAGGATGGGCGGAGGCGAGCTGTTAATAACGGGTACAGCGACTGGTGGAGGCGGGCTCGCTATAACGGGCACGGTGACAGGAGGAGGCGGGCTGCTTACAACCGGAACGGCGACTGGTGGAGGCGGGCTGTTTATAACGAGTTCAACGGTCGGAGGATGCGTCCTGCTTGCATCGGTTTGAGCAGGAGGAGGGGGACTGCTTGTAACGGATTCGACTACTGGGGGAGGCGGGGAGAGAGTGCTCGAGACCGCTAGCGCAAGCGGGGGCAACGGGGGAGGGGGGGAATTGACAGGGAGTGGCGGAGAATACACAGGGGGAGGCGGAGAGCTGACAAGGGGAAGGGGAAGAAGGGGGGTGAGAGGTGGTGAGGGAGGGGGAGACGGGGGCGGAGGACTTGGGGGAGGAGGCGGAGATGGAGGGAGCGGAGGGTTGGGCGGTGAAGGGGAGGATACCAGTGGAGGGGGAGACGCGACAAGTGGAGGCGGGGAAGCGACGAGCGGAGGGGGCGACGCGACAAGTGGAGGCGGGGAAGCGACGAGCGGAGGGGGCGACGCGACAAGTGGAGGCGGGGAAGCGACGAGCGGAGGGGGCGACGCGACAAGTGGTGGCGGGGAAGCGACGAGCGGAGGGGGCGGGGAAGAGACAAGTGGAGGAGGGGGGGAATCGAGCGGAACGGAAGTGTCGGTGACGGTGCTGGCGGATTGATCTGTCACCATCCCAGGGGTGCCAGGGGGAGACGGGGGACGAGGCGGAGGGGGAGGGCGCGGGGGAGGTGGTTTGGGCGGACTGGGGGGTGGCTTCGGCGGCGGAGATGGCGGCGGCGGTTTCGGCGGTGGGCTCGGCGGCTTGGGCGGCGGCGGTGGGGAAGGAGGTTTCGGCGGAGGAGGTGGACTTGGCGGCGGCTTCGGCGGGGGTGATGGCGGCGGCGGCTTCGGCGGGCTGGGCGGATTAGGGGGCGGCGGCGGGGACGGCGGAGGGCGCGGTGGGGGAGGCCTAGGGGGAGGCGGGGACGGCGGCGGCGGCGACGGCGGCGAACGATTCGCAACGAATTTTTGAACGCAAACTGCGCTAGAGAAAAAGCTCGAACCCGACTCGGTTCCCCCAAGCGGCACGAATCCCGTCGTGTCGGTCTCAATCGCGCCGTCCGCTGCGAGCGCCATCGCATATACGCCTTCAGGAAGCGCGAGCAGCGCCAGCGCCGGGCTGCTGGGATACACCGCGAGCTCCCCGCCGTCATATGCGGCGGTGGAGTACTGAAAGGAGCCTAAATACGCCGCCGAGGCGCATCCTCCCGCCTCCGTGTAGCCAATCGCGTCCATGGTCCCCAAAAAGGTCGCGCCTCGGGACGCCATGAGCGTAGACGTGCCGCCGTAATTCGCGGCGCTGGTAACCAGCACGTTCTTATTCTGCGGATCCACGCCGAGTGATCCGGGCGTGCCTGTCGTCAGCACTGTTGTCGATAGTGGCGGCGGGAGCGCGGTTCCCGCGAGCGGAAGCGCGTACGTGTAGAGAATGTTCGTGTCGTACCGGAGAATGGCTAAGAAGCCGCCGCCGGGAGAACAGACGGCTTGCCGAGCCGCGTACGACGCCGAAAACATCTTAATCGCCGCATTGGCTTGCAAATTCCCAGTCGTCGGATCTATCGGCACAACGACCACCACGTCAGAATCGTCAGCCGTGACGTGGCAGGTGAGCACGAGGAAATCCGAGGGGGAGGCGGCTGGCGAAGAGCAGAACGAAGCGGAAAGACACTGGTAACCCGCTCCGACGAGCTTGCGCGACGAGCCCGTCACCCGGTCTACTGAAACCGCACCCGCCGCTGTCTCCGACCCATCCGCAACCACCAGAAGATTCTCGGAAGGTCCCCCAAGCGCTACAACCGTTCCTGAAAACCCGCCGGGGAGAGCCACGGGCGGTAGCGGCACCGCGCCGTCTAGGGTGTAGTTAATCGCGTTTAGATACGAGCCGCCCGAAGTTAAGTAGGCCGTGCCGTCGGTCGCGACGCCGCAGGAAGTGAGCTGCGCGTTAGCGTTGCTGTCGGCTTTGCTGGAATAGCCTATTTCGCGACGCGTTCGGAGATTAATCTCCCATACCTGGGACGTCGTGTCGCCTGTGAGAGGATCATACACGCCGCCGCCTACTATCGCTACCGGGAGGCCTATTGCCGAGTATTGGCATAGCGCGGGGGACGGGAGAAGGGCGAAGGACATGAAGAGGAGGAGAAGTGGCGCCGCCGTGAGTGACGCCGCGATTGCCGCCGCCGGTCCACGTGGGGATCCCACGTGGCGGCGCGGCGGCATCCGCACAGCCATTATGTGGCCGTAAGGAAAGGTTCCGTCAGCTATGTGGGATTCATCCTGATGACGCGGCGGAATGTGCGGCGGAATATGCGGCCAAGGACAATGAGAATGCGTGTCCGAGGTGGGTTATTAGGGAATGAGATTCTACGGGTAGATAAGGTTGGGGGTCGGTAATAAGGTCAGGACAGGATGCTCACGTTGCGTCGGTTATGGTGGGAGGCAATGGCGCATGTGGGGAGGGTGGGCTGGCTGGCGGCTTGGCAGAAGAGATTTGTTGTTCAGGGGTTCATCAGTCTTCAGAACTGACTGGACTGAACTGAACAGAAGGCAACGCAACGGGGGCTGGGTGTTTTGTTTGTGGGGCTGGCGAGATTGGAGTGTGGAACAGTGCGCAGTGGGTCCTCTTCGACACCGCATCCACAACGCAGTGCTCTGTGTGTGGTGAGGTCATCCTCTGACCCGACGTGCACTGTAGTGTACTGTGTGTAACGACATCGCTGGATGTAACGACGACAATCAGACGTGTTTGAATTTGTCGTGTTGACAATGATAGACTTCTCGTGGCGAGGAAGCGTGATAGAAGAGGAGTGGAGTGGGATTGGGGTGGTAAGTTGGAGGATGTGCCATGATGCATCTTGGCGAGGAGAGGCGAGGAGTTGAGCGTCTCCTCCACCCCCATCAAGAAATCGAACAAGCAACCATGTCATCGTCGTGCACATGGATGGAGCGATGAAATGAATGAGTGAAAGGATGAATCGGCGGGCATGCGAGTTCCGTACACCTTGCACCATAACGTGCACCACAGAAACAGTCACGCGTCTGGTTGGGAGATGTTTTGGTTGGGTTGGGGGAAGTGCCTGGGTTTGCAGATGAAACGCATACACGTAGATTGCAATGTAGCAGGACCTCAAGCATGGTGGTGGTGTGGTGTGGCGATGGCGGTGAATCTGTCACGAATTTGCATGGATCTTCACCTGCCCCTTCCTCGCTCGAATCGCAGATTCCCTTGAAGGCAGTTTGGCTACCCTGGGTGGTTGATTCAGTTGAGACTTTCGAGTGGCTGCCACATGGAGGCAGCAACTCCAAATTGTTGGGCAGGATAATAACAAAATGGTTTGGAAGTGTAAAGGTGTACTATCCACTTGTAGAAGGGGTACTATCCACTTACCGTAGTGATATTTCTCTTACACCCAACCCAAGCCGTCTTTCTCGCTTGGCAACCATTGCCGTTATGAGCCAGCCTGGAAAAAATATGACCTGAAGGCAGAGCGCAGGTGGCTGCCACACTGGCCTGGTGGACGAAGTTCTCTTTCAGGTGGGTAGCCAACGTCAAGGGTGCGACGAATCTGTATTCGCATTGACAGACTCAATTTCCTATGTAATATGCATTACGATTAGAAGTAGAAACAGTCATACCTCACAATCTTAACTCCTTTTACACGAATGACCAGTAAAATATTTCCGCAATGAGTCTCGTCGTAATCAACCGACCAGTAAAATTACTCGAGCACTCTCCAACAGCGTACAAAGCCTGGCATAATCCCACCAAACGACACTGCCAAACCTGCGACCGAACCAATCACAAGTCAGCCACAGCAGGTCTATCCCTCCCGACCAATTTACCTGCCAAGCTCCTCGGTGTTACCCAAGTGTCCGAACCAACCTGCCAGCAAGTTCGCACTCTCTGTGACCAGTGAAGTTCAGTGGTGTGAATTTAAAATTGGTCAACTGCATTCAGGTAGTTGACTAGTGTTCTTCCCGCGCAAGAGGCGCGACCATTAACCTTTTTCGGGGTTACGTTCAATTCCCTGATCATAGGAAGGATTGATTGACGCGTGTTCCAACGATTTCGTGCAAGTCCTGTTCCTGCATTTGCGCGCGACAAGTATGTCAGGCTCGAAGAAGCTCATAAATGACCCGTCAGGTTAGCTCCATGCCATCTCGTCTCGCTTACGCGATTTATTTTCCCGCTTTGCGAAACTCTTTAAAACGGCCAGGTTTCAGGCGTAGGTTCTGTATGCGTTGGCATTTATGTTCAAGTAAAACGCTTTGAAGCTCGTATGTGCATGCGAATAAGACTCGCTGTGAGTCGTCGGAGAAAAACAAACTTCAGCTGCAATGGCTCAGCTCACTTCCACGTTGCTGCATGTTCTTGGGTCTAAATAATTTAGAATTTCCCCAATTATGGGTGTAAATGCCGCGCAGATGTGGTCCTCGAGATGATCGAGGGCTTGGTGGAGACCTACCCCAACCTGCAGTACCTCGATGGCTTCCCTGACGTGAGTTGCTTCGGTCAAGCGCCTCATAGTCTATTTTGGAGGCTCCTCAAACATAGTGTCCTCGAGATTACCGAGGGCTTGGTGGAGACCTACCCAAACCTACAGTATCTCGATGGCTTTCCTGACGTGAGTTCCTCCCCTCAGACGATGATGACACGGTTTCATGCCTCGAAGTTGCAGGGGTTTAAGTGTTTATTTCAAAAACAACTTAGAAATAACATGCAGGACCTAAATGGCTTCCTGGGTGTTGGTCTGGATGGCTTTGGCGACGCGGAGGTCCGCTCAGAAGCAATTGTTTGTGCAACAACATCTGTGCTCTGATTCCATCTTTATTTGTCAACTTTGAATATGCTGACTCATAATGAGTACCCGTCAACTAGCGAATTGTCCCACTATCGCAGCAGGGAGTGGCTCAAGTCTCTGGCTACACAGTGCAAGAGAATTCGCAAAATCCCAACCGTTCGTCAGCTGCAGAAAAAAACATGAAACGTTTCTGGCGAAACCAATGCAGGTGAAGGTGGTGCTGCGAGCTGACGTCAGCAGAGGGACGTACGGGAAGGTGGCAATAATTTCGGGCGGCGGGAGCGGGCACGAGCCAGCGCATGCAGGGTTTGTGGGGAAGGGCATGCTCAGCGCCGCTGTGTGTGGGGATGTCTTCGCCTCGCCTTCAGTCAACGCTGTCCTCATGGTACTGTACGGTACTGTACGGTACGGTACGCTGTAGGGTGCTTCCTTTCTTCTGCAGGATAGTGCTTGCTTGCTTATACAGTCAGGTCAGGCCAGTCCAGTCAAGGCCAGTGCACTGCTTGTTTCTGCACGCCACTAAATCTTAACTGTGAGAGGAAAACGAGGCGGAATCAAGACAGGTAAGTCCTCCCACCTTCCCCCCCAACTCCCACCCACCCCTTCACACCTCCCTCCCAACAAACCCCTAAGCGCACCCCTGCGCGTCCCCCGCCCTTGCTTGTCATTGTCAGAGCAAACACATGCCCGTGCTCGTTTTCTGTGCCTGTCCAAACAAGATTTCCGCTGCCTGTATCCTCACTTCGCTGGAGTTTGTTTGTTCCTTTCCCAGGCCATTCGGGCAGTCACTGGGCCGGCTGGCTGCCTCTTGATCGTCAAGGTATGTCGTAGTTACAGCGCTTCTGTAACGCTCGTTTCTGGGCCGGCTGGCTATCTCTTGTAACATGGACTTGTTAAAGAGGTCATGCGCGCTCTTTTGTCTCAGCCGTGTTCATTCAGGAGATGACTGACTACCTACCTACCTACAAGGAAGGTATGACCAACATGCAAGCGCCATGCCTCCAGATGCTGCGCTGCGCTGCCGTACGCCATTTTCGGCTTTGCAATGCATAATGTTTTTGGGGCGCCTCAGAAACAGCTTTGCTTCACTGCGGGCATGTTGTACGCCACGGTGACACGGTCCACCAGTGTCCCTTGGCTAATATGTTGCCATGCCATGCCAGCAGCTGCTGTGTTGTTCGATCGGATCCGCCTCTGAAACGCACACTCGCTTAGCCATTTGAAGTCCTCTGAAACAGCCATCTCACTGCCACGCCATCTCACTGCCCCGCCATCTCATTGCCCCGCCATCTCATTGCCCCGCCATCTCACGCCTGCGGTGGCTGGCTCTTGAGCCAAATTCAAACCATGTTTCCTTTTTCATACTGCTTCTCTTTTTCTTCCTTCCTCCAGAGCTATACAGGTGACAGGCTAAACTTCGGATTGGCAGCAGAGCAAGCCAAAGAGGAGGGCTTTAAAGTTGATGTGAGTCCGGCAGTCAATTCAGTCAGTCAGTTGCTTTGCTCCCTGTTCTCGATTCTCCAACCGCGTGGTGCATTTCGATTCTGGGCTTCCGCTTGCTGCTTCCCTTTCTGCTCCTCACCTCCCCCTCTTCCTCACCTATCTTTCTCTCCTCTCTTGCTCTCCTCTCTTGCTCTCCTCTCTTTCTCTCCTCTCTTACTCACCTCTCTTGCTCTCTTCTCTTGCTCTGTCTGACGTCCGTGTGCCCTGATCATCGTCAGATGGTGGTGGTGGGGGATGACTGTGCGCTGCCGCCGCCTCGTGGCATTGCGGGGAGAAGGGGCCTGGCGGGGACAGTCTTTGTGCACAAGGTGGGTGAATTGTGCTCAGGTTAGGTGGGTGAATTGTGCTCAGGTTAGGTGGGTTTGTGTCAGGTTAGGTAGGTTTGTGTCAGGACAGGAGGGTATGCAAAACGTGTTGCATGCATGCATGAGAAATAATTTTGGAATTTCGTAGCATGTATGGATCCCACCCCCCTAAAAAAAAAAAACGAGGTTTTTTCTCACACAAGGGTCAGGTTTCCTTCTTCCCCCTGTGTACCAAGTTGTTCCCCCTCCCCCCCCCCCCCCCCCCTCCCTCCCCCGCACACCACATTCAATCCCCCGAGGCCAGATCTTGTTTTCAACTCTCCATCCCCCACCTGCCGTCCCTTCCCTCCCTCCCACTGCAGGTGGCAGGGGCAGCTGCAGAGGAGGGCAAGTCGCTCGCTGACGTGGCAGCAGAGGCTCGCCAAGTGGCAGGTGGGTGGGGACTGGATTAGTTAGCATTCACTGGGTTCAGACATAGATCATGCTGATTCCGAGAAAAGTTCTATGATTATAATTGTTTTACTGTTCAAGGAAACAGGCAGAAGAGAAGACGAGCATCTGGGTTGACCATATTGGTAGGGCCAGGCCAACAGCCAGCTTGTGATTGGCCCAAACAAGGTGCCGTGCTGGATCAAGAGCTGCTGCAGGTCTCCCTCGTATTGTATGCACTGTGTTGTGTTGTGTTGTGTTGTGTTGTGTTGTGTTGTGTTGTGTTGTGTTGCCCAGGGAAGGGACATTCCATCTCATTGTCCTCCTTTCATTCCATTCTCACCCTCTCCTTTTCCCCCTTCTCCCCCCCTTCGCCCCCCCTTCACCCCTCTTCCCCCCCCTCCCCCCGCTTTCCCCCCTCCTCCCCACTCCTTCACCCCGCCAGGCCTAGTGGGCACCATGGGGGTGGGTCTTTCCGTGTGCACCGTGCCAGGGGGATTTCCTTCCGATCGACTCCCAGCCACCAAGATGGAACTGGGGCTGGGCATTGTGAGTGGGGGCGACGTGGGGTGATGATTGTGGGAGCGGACATTGGGCTGGGCATTCGGCAGGCCTGGTGGGCACCATGAGTGCACCGTGCCAGGAGGATTTCCTTCTGATCGACTCCCTGCCACCAAGATGGAACTGGGGCTGGGCATTGTGAGTGGGGGCGAGTTGATGGGGGTGAGTGGTGGGGCATGGGGTGAATGGTGTTAGAAATCCTATGTTCTAGCATGCTAACACTTGTGACTGTACACCAATTGTGGTGTACAGTTGGGTTGGGACTACACCCAACTTGGGGTGTAGTCTTGCATTTTGGGGTGCCAATCCAACCCAATTGTGGTGGAGCCCCCAAATGCAACCCTATGGGCCATAGGGTACCCCACTTCACAAAGTGAGACCACCCAACCCATTGGGCCATAGGTTAACCCCACTTCCCAAGTGTGGTCAACCCAACCCAATGGGCCATAGGTTGGCCCACTTCCCCAAGTGTGGTCAACCCAACTCAATGGGCCATAGGTTGGCTCTCTCCCCCAATCCCACCTCCCTCCTTTTCCCTTCCAACCTTCTCTTCCAAACCTATGTATGCTTGTTCTACTCTCTAATCAAGCTAATGATTCAGTTTACAATCTTCACAAATGGGGGGCCATGGGGTGAATGGGGGGGCATGGGGTGAATGGGGGCATGGGGTGAATGGGGGGGCATGGGGTGAATGGGGGGGCATGGGGCTGCTGGTTGTATACATGCGTGTGTCCATGCTGCCTCTACGTCTGTATTCATCCGCCCTATTATGCCATCTCCCACCCACCCACGGATGCAGCAACGGGAGGCAGGAGCAGCGGTGGTGGATATGCAGCCTGCGGATGTGCTGGGTCTCTGTGATTACGTGCACCTTTATCCTTCCCCACCATGCCGTTACCTACCCACCCACACATGTGTGATGCATGCAGCACGGGGAGCCAGGAGCAGCGGTGGTGGACATGCAGCCGGTGGACGTCGTCGTGTCGCACATGCTCAAAACCATCAACAACCCCGTGAGTCTAGCTCTAAAATATCAACAACAAGAACAACAACAAAACAATTCAAGCGTCCGTCTGATATCAAATTAAGCGTCGGGCTCAAAACCATATACAACCCTGCAAGTCATTTTTGAAGCGAGTGCCTGAGAGCACCAAAGCTGCTGTTTAGAATTCTCGAAGCCGCTACGTGTCCATCTTCAAGCGATTGGCCGAAACCATCAACAGTTCGCAGGAAATACAACAGTTCGTACTGTTAATCCTTTGCTAAAGAATTCCTTAGACTGCTGCTCGCCTAATCATATGGCTGAAGGTCCTTCTTCAAGCGATTGCCCGAAACCATCAAAGTTAGCCGCATCAGTGGCTCATGGGCTCCCAGTTGTCATCGGGTTGACTTTTGAGTCGACTCAAAAGTCAGTTAGCCGCATCAGTGGCTCATGGGCTCCCAGTTGTCATCGGGTTGACTTTTGAGTCGACTCAAAAGTCAGTTAGCCGCATCAGTGGCTCATGGGCTCCCAATTGTCATCGGGTTGACTTTTGAGTCGAATCAAAAGTCAGTTAGCCGCATCAGTGGCTCATGGGCTCCCAGTTGTCATCGGGTTGACTTTTGAGTCGACTCAAAAGTCAGTTAGCCGCATCAGTGGCTCATGGGCTCCCAATTGTCATCGGGTTGACTTTTGAGTCGACTCAAATCAAAAGTCAATTAGCCGCATCAGTGGCTCATGGGCTCCCAGTTGTCATCGGGCCCCTCCCCTTATTGTGTCTGCCTTGTCTCTCCTCTTTCTCCCCTTCCATTCCTCCCACTCCGGATCCTCACTCCTTCCGTTATCCTCCCATCCTTTCCCCTCCGATTCCCTTCCTTCCCTTTTTCGTCTCCCCCTCATTGCTCCCAGGACACAGACTACATTCATGCCTCTCGAGCTTGGAAGCACAGGGCAGCGCTCCGTCCTTGTCACTCCTGTTTTTCCAACTTCCCACTCCCATTCCCATTCCCACCCTCATTCCCATTCCTTCCCACTCCCATTCCCATTCCCTCCCCTCCCTTTTTGCTCTCAGGAGACGGGCTACATGCCTCTCAAGCTCGGCAGCAGAGTAGCTCTCATGGTGAACAGGTATGGTGAACAGGTATGGTAAACAGGTATGGTAAACAGGTATGGTGAACAGGTATGGTAAACAGGTATGGTGAACAGGTATGGTAAACAGGTATGGTGAACAAGTATGGTAAACAGGTATGGTGAACAGGTATGGTAAACAGGTATGGTGAGCAGGTATGGTAAACAGGTATGGTGAACAGGTATTAAACAGGTATGGTGAACAAGTATGGTAAACAGGTATGGTGAACAGGTATGGTAAACAGGTATGGTGAACAGGTATGGTAAACAGGTATGGTGAACAGGTATGGTAAACAGGTACGGTGAACAGGTATGGTGGTCTTGGTGAACTGATTTAATGATTTCCCCCTCCTGTCCTCGCATGTACATCCTCTTACTCCTCCATCATTCCCTCCCTTCACCACCTCCCCTCCCCGCTCTGTAGCTTGGGTGCACGGTGCACCTTCAGCCATGATATTTTTCTCCGGCGCTCCCATTTCCTCTGCTCAACCTTCTTTTTTCCGCCTCTCCCTCACCTTCCCCCGTCCTTGCCTCCCTCCCCTCCACTAACCAATACCAGCTTGGGTGCAACACCAGCCATGGAGGTCATGATTGCGGCAGGCAAGGCTGTAGCGCAACTACAGGTGATGATGATGATGATGATGATGATGATGATGATGATGATGATGATGATGATGATGATGATGATGATGATGATGATGATGATGATGATGATGCAAACAGTGCCGCTACAGATGATGATGATGCAAATAGTGCCGCTACAGGTGATGATGATGCAAACGTTGCTGCTACAGCTACCACCACTCGCTCACTCTGTCTGTGACTCCTCTCTGTCCGCGTCTGCACAGCATCTCTCTGCACCCATCCACGCCGATAATCACCCACCTGTACACCTCTTCGCTGCTCTGCACCCCTCTGCACACCCTGTGTGCACCATGGCAGGTGGAGCATGGGCTGGCAGTGGAGCGGGTGTATGCGGGCCACTTACTCTGTCTGTGTCTCTCTGCACCCCTCTGCACCCCGCTGCACCCCTCTGCACCCCTCTGCACCACTGTGTACACCATGGCACGGCAGGTGGAGCATGGGCTGGCAGTGGAGCGGGTGTATGCAGGCCACTTTATGACTTCCCTCGACATGTCAGGTGACATGCACCACACAGAACCGCACACAACTGCACACAACCATGCACAGCCACAGGTGCCGCTCCACGTGCACAGTCACCACCTGAATGGTGCTTTCAGGTGCTGTCAGGTGGATTCCATGATGGCTAGTGGTTCACCCTGGTTGACCTTGTGCAACTCAGCTTGATTCTTGTTCCTGTTAGGTTTTTGTCCTGTATTGACTCGGTTTTTGTCGTGTATTGACTTGTGTTTCTTCCCAACACCTTTTGCCTCTGCCCCTGCCACAATCCTGTCCCTCTCAGTGCTCAAGGTGGGCCGTGGACATCAAGCACTGCAGCGATTAGACGGCTCAACCGTCGTACTCACGTGTTTTTCTTTGTTTGTTTGATTTTGCTTTTTCCTGGTTCGATGCGCCTTCCCCACAGGGCTATCACTCTCAGTGCTCGAGGTGGATGATCAAGTACTGCAGCGGCTAGACGCCCCAACCCAATTTTCTGCCCCAGCCCTATCCATTATGTTTGTTCTTTGCTTTTTTTTTCCTGGTTCGATGCGCCTCTCCCACAGGCCTGTCCCTCTCAGTGCTCAAGGTGGACGATCAAGTGCTGCAGCGACTAGACTTCCCAACCCTCGCCCCTGCATGGCCCAACGCCTGCCAAGGTGGGTTCCCTCGCATGCCTGAGTGCGCCGGCCTATACCCACCCACAAATTCCTCTTCACACCAAGAAGGGGCTTGAGAGAATGTTTTCTGAGACTCCTGAAAAGATCTTGGATGAGTGAGTGCGCAAATTCCCACGCTCCATATACATTTGCGTGAGAAAGTGTGTGAGGGAGTGCATGGGAGTGCATGGGAGTGCATGGGAGTGTGTAAGCCACCCTCCTCAGAACACCCTTCTTTCCCTCTCCACTCACTATATATCTCTCTCTCTCCATTTCCCCCTTCCTCTTCGCAGGTGCGCGTCCAGCTACCAAGGTGCCAGTGCCGCTCCCTTCGATCTCCTTGTATCTCGCTTCCCTCTTTACCCTTGTCTACTTCGCCTCAAACCTCTCCACTCACTATATCTCTTTCTCTCCATTTCCCCCTTCCTCTTCGCAGGTGCGCGTCCAGCTACCAAGGTGCCAGTGCCGCTCCCCCCAGCCCCACCAGGCTCCCAACCTGTACGTTTCCCACGCCCCCCACATCCATCCTGGCCTTCTGCTATGAACTGCTTTGAGACTGTACGTTTTTTTATAAGGCGTCTCACAAGTGAGACTGCGATGCCCCCCATGCCTTCCGTACTACCTCCATGCTCCCCATGCCCCCATCCATCCCGCTTCCCTCCCCCTCCCTCTCCTCTCGATGCACTTGTGATCCCATCGTCATGCTACCACCCCACACCCTTATGACTGACATGCCCCCCACACCCCCCTTACCTCATGCCCCACCCCTTCCGCACCCCCCACAATCCTCCAACACCCCCCCAGGCAACAGAGGAGGGGCGGTGGCGCTCAGGCCGTGCTGGCTCTGGCAGTGATGGCATGCTCGAAATGACTGCTATAGAACACGTGTGCCCCACTCCCCTGTGCCCCCATACCCCCGCACCGACGCCCCTCCCCCCACCCTCCAGGCATCAGCATGCGTGCAGCCTAAAGAATTAACAGAGGAGGGGCGGTGCATCCGAGGGGGCGCTCAGGCCGTGCTGGCACTGGCGGCCGCCTTGAATGCATGCTCTGGATCAGGGTTAAAAAAAACGACCGTTTTTTTGAAAATTTACCGTAAAAAACGGTATCGTAAAAAACGGTCGTAAAAAACGGTTTAAAACGGTTCCAGGGGGTGTTTCCTGTTCAGCTAACAAAACGGTCACTTAGTGGGACCAAATTGAACCCGAAATGCAGCAGCATGAAGGGGACGGTCCCCTTCTTGCATGTATGCGCTTGTTGGCATGACTGAAAATGTTTTTGACCTTGTTTTTCTCTTTTTGTTCTTGGTAAACAGAGTACTCTAACAAAAAAACGGCCGTTTTTTTGAAAAATCACCGTAAGAAACGACCGTAAAATACGAACCGTATTTTACGAAAACCGTAATTTTGAACCTTGCTCTGGATCACCTGCTCCCAACGCCCTGGTCCCCATGCCCTTCCCTGCATCCCTCCCCACCCCCCACCACCCCCCCCACCCCACACACCCCCCGCATCCCCCACACCCCCCACGCCTCCCGCACCCCCCAGGCATCAGCGTGTGAGCGCCCAAAGGAGTTAACAGAGGAGGGGCGGTGCCTGGAGCGGTGCATTCGGGGGGGTGCTCAGGCCGTGCTGGCTCTGGCAGTGGACCTGAATGCATGGGATGCTAAGATTGGCGATGGGGACTGCGGGAGCACGGTGAGTGGGGAATGCAAGAGGTGACTTTTGAGTCGAGGGGAATGAAAGAGGTGACTTTTGAGTCGAGGGGAATGAAAGAGGTGACTTTTGAGTCGAGGGGAATGAAAGAGGTGACTTTTGAGTCGAGGGGAATGAAAGAGGTGACTTTTGAGTCGAGGGGAATGAAAGAGGTGACTTTTGAGTCGAGGGGAATGAAAGAGGTGACTTTTGAGTCGAGGGGAATGAAAGAGGTGACTTTTGAGTCGAGGGGAATGAAAGAGGTGACTTTTGAGTCGACTCAAAAGTCACTGCGGGAGCACGGTGAGTGGGGAATGCAAGGGGACTGTACGCAACAGTAACAGCATGCAAAGCAGAGGGGGGTGCTTGCACTGGCCGCAGACCTGAACGCATGGGATGCTAAGATTGGTGATGGGGACTGCGGAAGCACGGTGAGAGGATGGGGGAGCTTGGGGAAGGGAGCTTGCTTTTGAGTCGGATCCAGTCAAACCCTCCATGCTCGGCAGGCAGCATGGGGTCGAATGGATTCAAGCCCCTGTTGCACATCCGATTCACCTTGCCTCCCCTTTCCCTCCTATCCCCATGCGTTGACTTTTGAGGCGCCTCAGAAGTCAGTTAATCTTCACACCCCCTGTTGGACATCCCATCCACCTTGTTCCCCCTTCCTTCCCCTCGTATCCCCATGCGTTCAGATGAGTCGTGGGGCCAAGGCAGTTCTCGATGCCCTCGCCTCAAGGTCCGCACTCTGCTTTTGCTTGTTCTCTCCCCTGTTCTCACTGTCTGCGCCTTTTTGTCTGCCCACTGATTAACCTCCCAGTCTCCTACCCTCCCATCTCCTACCCTCCCATCTCCTACCCTCCCATCTCCTACCCCCCCACTATGCAACCTACTCGGTGCCTCTTTTCCCCTCCTCGTTCTCCCTCCCGCTCGCCTTGCGCCCCAGATACCCCCTTAATGATGCACCAGCAACAGTGAGGGAGATGGGCGCGAGTGTGCGGTGCTCCATGGGTGGAACAAGCGGAGTGATGTGAGTGGGGTTGGTGGAGGGTGGGGGTAGGAGAAAAAGAGGTGTGTATTTTTTAGTCGACTCAAAAATAGGTTTTGAGTCGACTCAAAAACAAGCGGAGTGATGTGAGTGGGGTTGGTGGAGGGTGGGGGTAGGAGAAAAAGAGGTGTGTATTTTTGAGTCGACTCAAAAATAGGTTTTGAGTCGACTCAAAAACAAGCGGAGTGATGTGAGTGGGGTTGGTGGAGGGTGGGGGTAGGAGAAAAAGAGGTGTGTATTTTTGAGTCGACTCAAAAATAGGTTTTGAGTCGACTCAAAAACAAGCGGAGTGATGTGAGTGGGGTTGGTGGAGGGTGGGGGTAGGAGACCTATATTGGAGTGACTTTTGGAGGGTGGGGGTAGGAGAACTATATTGGAGTGACTTTTGGAGGGTGGGGGTAGGTGAACTATATTGGAGTGACTTTTGGAGGGTGGGGGTAGGAGAACTATATTGGAGTGACTTTTGGAGGGTGGGGGTAGGAGAACTATATTGGAGTGACTTTTGGAGGGTGGGGGTAGGAGATATATTGGAGTGACTTTTGGAGGGTGGGGGTAGGAGAACTATATTGGAGTGACTTTTGGAGGGTGGGGGTAGGAGAACTATATTGGAGTGACTTTTGGAGGGTGGGGGTAGGAGAACTATATTGGAGTGACTTTTGGAGGGTGGGGGTAGGAGAACTATATTGGAGTGACTTTTGGAGGGTGGGGGTAGGAGAACTATATTGGAGTGACTTTTGGAGGGTGGGGGTAGGAGAACTATATTGGAGTGACTTTTGGAGGGTGGGGGTAGGTGAACTATATTGGAGTGACTTTTGGAGGGTGGGGGTAGGAGAAGAAGAGGTGTGCTTCTGGCATGGCTTGGGGATGAGTGGCTTGATGTGAGAGAAGTGAGGGGAGATGGGTGCGAGTGTGCGCTGCTCCATGGGGGGAACAAATGGAGTGATGTGATAAGCATGGGGCCGGAATGTGTCTCCTGAGTCCTGCCTACTTCTGTGATGCTTATCTGTCACGCCTGCTGTCTACTCCTGCCTTTTTCCTCCCTACGCCTGCCCACTCCTTCTTACTCCTTCGTAGTCCTCCCCACTCCTGCCCACTCCTTGTTTATCACGTTCATGCACATCTTGCAGATACGACATCTTCTGCCGCTCCGCATATGTGAAGCTGAGGGAGCTTGCAGGGCCAGAAGCACACCCACCCCTGTCCACCCCTCCCCACTCCTACTCACTCCTACCCACCCCTGCCCACACCTTTCTGCCTTGCCTGTGTTCATCTCCCTTGCAGATACGACATCTTCTGTCGCTCCGCATATGTGAAGCTGAGGGAGCTCGCAGGACCAGCAGCACAGCCCACCCCTGCCCACTGTTCGTCGTCTTCCTCCCTCCTCTCCCTCCCCTCCCCTTTCTCCTCTCCCACCTAAACCCTTTTGCTCTCCTTGTCCGAAACCAGCAGTCCAACCCCTTTGAGTCTTCAAGTCCCCTTTGAGTCTCCTCAGTCAAAACTCATCCTCTGGCGCCCTTCCACTCACATGCCATCCATCAATCTATCCTTCACTTCATTCCACTTCATTTCACTTCATCTCAACTTCTTCTCTTCCCTGCCTTTCGGAACCCCCTCCTCCCTCCCTCCCTCCCTGCTTCCCCAACCCCCCACCCACCCCCACCCCTGTATCTACATCCACCCTATCACCAGGGGCGGCTGCATTTGAGGCGGCAGTGGCGGCGATGAGTCTGTACGGCGGCGCTCAAGCCGGGTACCGCACCATGCTGGATGCTCTGCTGCCTGCTGCTGCGACTCTCTCCCAACAAAAAGCCAGGCCAGGAGATCTGACACACATCTCTATCCCTTATCTTCCCATCAAACCCACCTTTCTTCCTTCCCATCCTCTCCCCGCTTCTCCCGTCCCTGCTTCCCCTGCCTACCCTGCCCCCCTTATGATCCCCAGGGGCGGCTGCATTTGAAGCGGCGGTGTCAGCGGTGAGTCTGTATAGCGGCGCTCAAGCCGGGTACCGCACCATGCTGGATGCTCTGCTGCCCGCCGCTGCCACTCTCTCCCAACAAAAAGCCAGGCCAGGAGACCTGACACATGTCTCAATCTCTTCTCTTTTCATCGGCCCCAAACCCCCTCCGTCCCCTCTGCCCTCTCTCCTCTCTCCCAAACCCCCCCACCCCCCCTTTACTCCCCTACCCTGCTTCCCTATCACCAGGGGCGGCTGCCTTTGAAGCGGCAGTGGCAGCGGTGAGTCTGTACGGCGGCGCTCAAGCCGGGTACCGCACCATGCTGGATGCGCTTCTGCCCGCCTCTGCCACTCTCACTAGCAGCATCCACGCAGGGGAGCCTGCTGGAGCAGCGCTGGCAGCTGCTGCTCAGGCTGCTGCTGCAGGAGCCGAGTCTACCAAGTCAATGCCAGCTCTGGTGAGTCAACCAAGTCAATGCTAGCTCTTGTTTATGTCATTTTTCTTTCCTCACTCTAGATTATCAGTTCCACCAACGTGTGGGAAAATGTGTTGGCACGGCATTGCTGCCCTGACCTAAGAAATCAATATTTTCATGCAACCCATTATCCATGCACTGCGTAATTCATTGGCGCTGCACGACGAAATATTTAACATTCTGTGAATCTTTGAACACTGTGATTCAATCAACACTGCATGGTGATTGAATCCATCTATACATGGTTCTTCTCTTCTCCAGGCTGGCAGGTCCAGTTATGTACCAGCAGAGGTGTTGGCATCGGTGCCTGATCCCGGAGCCATGGCTGTAGCGGCATGGCTTCAAGGTGCCGCTACAGCCATGCAACCTCCCGAGCCTGTAGTGGACCCTGTAGCAGACCCTGCAGCAGCAGCAGCAGCAGCAGTACCATCAGCACCACATGAACACTTGTAGCAAGAACTTGTTTGCAATGGTGCACCACGTGTTTGCTCTAGGCTAGAGCGAGCCGTCCATAGCACAGCAGAAATATATGGCTGGAAGTATTCGTTATTGTTTTCACGTTCAATTAATATGTGATGCACCCTTGCTCACACGTGCGTGCAACTGGCAGGATATGCATTAAAAGGTACCGACTGAGAAACAAATTGATCTGATTTAAAAAAACACAAACAAAACAAAACAACAAAAAACAACCAAAAAAAAACATACCGGTATTCATTTCAAAATTGCGTATTATTGAGAATAGTTTGGGAAAGTGTAAGGAAATTTCTCGACATTCCTTACCGCGACCATTAACATCGCGTACAGCAGCAGTCGTTGTTCGCCCGTTACTGCTAACGGGGCTTCGCCAACTTCGCGCGCACTGTTTTACCAAACCTTGCACCGCTGACCTGGCCGAGTCGGCCTACGCTTCGGGACTAGCCCGAACCTCGATGTCAGCCTAGCACTAGCTAGCTCGCACGCACCGCGTAATCGTTGCATGTTTCGCACATACGTATTCGCTCATGCCTTCGCTCATACTTTGTACTTTTGATCCACATAGTGCAATCCTCTCTACCTCGTTCCATTGCACCCGTAACACTTGGTATTCAGAGCCACTTTCTTTCAGACCGCGCATCTTCGCACCCCACGAAATCAACTTTTGATTTTTGCTCGAAGGGACTCACGCCCCTTAGCACTACCATAATCTCCCGGATAGTAGACCCTAGGGTCTTACGGTATGTAAAATTCATAAAAATAAAGGGGCGGGGGTCTTGTCAACGGCACAAGATTGTATAACACCCGGGTCTTATTAAATATATATTATTTTCAAAGGTGTAATCGAATGCCTCATTGATGAGGATGCTTGACATTTTTTTCCCCTGTTGTTTGGGCCGCACATGTGCGGCTTTTGCGATGTAGCCACATCACACAGGGAAATCAGATTGTGGCCTTCTCATTGGCCGAAATTGCACGTTACCATATTCCAGCCTTGCAATATGAGTTTCGTGGCTCGTCATCGTTCATCCCACCTCGACAGTCTGACACATGCACGGTTCGAGAACAGGGGCTGCACGATGGCCCCTGGAGCAACCGTCAATCCCACACATATCACAGTCCTCCTCCGCCTGTTTCTTCATCCCCGCACGACACTGATTTCAGCTCGGCAGAGTGGTGCGCTTAGGGCCCATAGCTCTGAGATGGTCGTCTTAAGATGGCTGGAGGAAGTACTTAGAGCGGAAGTACTTAGAGCACTATCTAGAGGTGTAAGGTATCGTTCACGATGGTGACGTCTCCAGATGCAGGGATGTCACACGCAAGGCGCCCTCGTCCCACTAACGCACATCGAGCATCACAAGGTAGAGTTTCACCCCGGCCCGTTTTGCCAACGACTTCACCCTCCTCCAGCGATCCTAGCGACAGTTCCCATGGCGTCCGCCGACCGCCGCTTCCTAGCGTCGTGATCCCTACTTTTGTGGAGTCTAGTCGGCCGCAAGGCATGAAACGAAGAATTCTAGATGTTGCACCCCCTTCGCCTCGTCATAGGATGACGAAACGGTTCCGTAACGCTTTTACCGCTAAGGAGAAACTGCATTGGCTGGCCATGTTGGAGTCACAGCCAGACCTCAGCATCCGAGGCTTGGCGAAGCTCGCCAACGTGCAGCCTTAGCAAATCCGCGAGTGGAGGCGACTCAAGGAGCGTCTTGAGTTCGCCGCTGGTTTTCGCCGACGTCTTAACGGTGGAGGGCATAGGGCGAAGTGGCCCCTGATGGAGAGGGCGGTTTACCGCCAATTCTTGGCGCACCATACCAAAGGATTGGCGGTGTCGGTGAGCCTCTTGCGCAAGTGGGCATCTCAGTACATGAAGCACCGTCAGCCTACCGCCGATTTTCGAGCATCAGCACGTTGGACCTTTCGCTACCGCGTGCAGTGGTCCTTGGCGCAGTGCGTGAAGACAAAGATGGGGCAGAAACTAGCCACCGGTAAGGAATCTGCATGTCATCCCCCCCTGCCGTAACTGTTTAGGTAAAATATGTATCTAACGCATGTGTGGTGTTGTGTGTTTAACAGGTTGCAAGGGGAAGGTGGAGTCCTTCTGGGAGTTCGTCCGCCAGATGCGCATGGTTCATCGGTTTCCCCTAAACCTCATCGTAAATGCCGACCAGACCCCGCTCTGGTTGGAGATGCCAGCGAAACGCACCCTCGAAATGAAAGGCGCCCGCACGGTACATGTCAGGACGGCGGGCTACGAGAAGGAGCGCGTCACTGTCATGTTGGCAGTGACGGCTGACGACCTGAAGCTTCCCCCGTATGTCATCTTCAAGCGGAAGACGGTATCATGTATCGTGGTGCCACGAGGTGAGTCGGATGTCTTGTTGTCGTTGATTCCGTGTGTTGATAATGTTTTTCCGTTACTGATTTACGGATGTGGCGTGTGCAGGTATCGTCATCCGTGCCCAAGAGAAGGGCTGGATGGACGAGCGCCTTGTCCAGGATTGGACAACACATGTGCTCGTCCCCTTCTGGAAGCCGCTGCGGGACGAGGGCGGACGGCGCAAGCAAGCGCTCCTTGTCTTCGACTCGTACAAGGGGCACCTGACGGAATCCGTGGGGCAAACACTGAAGATGTTTAAGGTGACGCGTGCCGTCATCCCGGGCAGTTGCACTCCCCTGGTGCAACCGCTTGACGTCTCCATCAACAGCAGTTTCAAGTGCGGTATGCGCCACCGCTACAGCACGTGGTTTGTGGAGGTCGGGATTGGCCAAACGACACGTGCAGATGAGTCCTTGTCGATTTGTATGCTTTCAGATGACAAGGCAGCATTAAATCCACTGCCGTAACATCTCTATATTTCATTCTTCTCGTGAACTGCAGGGAACTTGAACGAGCCCCCCCCCCCCCCCCCTGAAGTGATCCTGAAGTGGATCGTGGAGTCATGGGCTGATGTGCCAGAGGAGCTGGTGAAGAAATCATTCCTCACCTGCGGCATCTCCAGTGCAGAAGACGGGAGCGAGGATCATTTGATCCTTGCTCACCTGCGGGACAAGGTGGAAGTGGAGGTGCTGGAGGATATGCTAGAGGAGGAGGAGGACGGTGCGCACCCCAACCCATTCTACGAAGACCCCTCGCACGCCCCCGAGCCCCCCGCCACCAAGGACGACGAGGCAGAGGACGAGGAGGAAGGGCTTGCAGGGGAGGAGGATGTGGTGGATGCCACTGCCAAGGAAGGGGATGGGATGGCTCCGGACGAGGAGGGGGGTGAGGCAGATGCAGAGATGGGAGGTGCGGATGAGTGGAGCGAGGATGGAGACGACTGGTGGGCAGCAGGCCGCTATGAGGGAGAGGAAGTGGAGGAGTGGGTTGCGGGCGAGGATGAATGACTATTTTGATATGTTTCTCAACCCATGTTGCCCTTGGTGTCAAACTTGCTAACTGTGAATACGTTGCATTGGTGACATGCTTGTCTTGCTAGTGAACCACTTGAAAAGGCATCTTATTTCCATTAAAAACGCGTGTCAACCACAGAGGGGGGGTCTAGTAAAGTTTACCCCTCTAGGGAAGGGTATAGTGAAAACCTGCCAAAATAAAAGACCCACCCCCGTAATACAGACCCGGGGGTCTTGTATTCCGGGGGGTCTACTATCCAGAAGCTTACGGTAGGAGCCGCTGTCCTCGCGTTCTCTCGCAAACGCGTACAGCCATGACTGCACCTAGGACTAAGCTGAGCCGACGCCCTTCGGAATGGCTGAGCACATCGACGTCACGAGTCTCACGCAGGAGCGCTTGAACGAACTGCTGCAGCAACTACACAAAAGCTCCGAAGAAATTGCAGCGCTGATGGTAGAATGAACGTCCCTGCAAAACGACGTCGCACGAGCACAACAAGCACGGTCACAGACACAAGGCACGCATGGACAACCCGCACGACAGGCATGACAACACGTAAGCATGGGGCAACCCTCTAGCACGCCTAGTGATGGCGTCGTCCGCAACGACGGAGACGACGAACACGGCGCGTCACACCCTGGAGCGACGAATGCGGCCAGAAGCCAACCTCGCGTTACGATTTTGGTGCCGATCGGCGAGTCAGCACTACCGTCGCCGATGCCACTGAAGTAGCAACGTCTCCCTTGATTTGACCCGAATCAACGGGGTGGTCCTACCGTTCAGGCGTGGTTATTCACCATGAACATGTTCTTGGACGCGAACTACGTCTCGGAGGATTCGGCGAAGATTCACTACGCCGTGTCGTTGCTGCGAGGACCCGCCATGGATTGGTGGCGCGTCATCGTCACGAAGCCAAATGGACTATCAGACTCTACCGTCACGGGAAGGACAAACCGAACCCTGGGCGCTGTCAAATTTTGTTAAAGTGCCCCAGTATCGCACGTGGGATGCGTGGTGCGCAGGTCTGCGCGCGAGATTCGAGCCGATTGCAGCTTCTATCGCGGCGCGTCAGAAGCTCCGCACTTGGCGTCAACTCGGTTCCGTCCGGGACTACACCAGCGGGTTTCTGGCGCTGTGTGAGCAGGTGGGCTATATGCACGAGGGCGAGCGCATCGACTGCTACATCGACGGCCCGAACCACGAAATCTCTCTGAAAATCCAGCTCCGCAACGTCACCGAATTTCAGGAGATTCTCGCTATGGCAGAAAAACTTGATTTTCTTCGCCGACCGAGATCGGGGTCCTACGGCAACAATAGCAGCTGAGGACATCGACCTCGTGGGACGAAGGAGCACGCCACGATATGCGATGTCGCCGCAAATGCCGCTGTCGCACCGTTCAAAGGGCGCTGCTTCGCGTGCAACAGGCAGGGACACCGCAAAAGCGAATATCAGGAAAACTCTAAGCGAAAGGGGGAAGCTGAGCAGCAGAAACAAACCAAGCAGCAGGGAAACGCTGGGAGTCGGTAGCAGACAGGCCCTCTATTGACAGGTCACGCCGCTTGCCCGACCCAACCAGCCCTCATCGAGTGATTGTGCCGATTCACGCAATCGACCACACCCGGCCGAATAAGGAGGGTACCGCGGTAGAAAGCCCCATACTGCTTAGTGGGAAAATTGGGAAAATTTTAGTTAAAATATTCGTAGACGGGGGAGCCAGCTACAGCCTCATCAATACTGCCACAGCATGGAAACTGAAATTGTCACTGGACAGGTGTTTACCTGAGATTGGCGCAAGAATGGTCGACGGCAAGCCACTGGCGATACGGGAACGAGTGGACCGAGTTCGGATTCGATGCGGGGGTAACTTCACATTTGGCCAGGAAATGCTCGCAACAACCCTCGACGGAACCGACATTTTACTCGGCCGTGATCGGCTGCGAGGACACAACTCGCGAATCGACTTGACGACTGGTGACTGCACTGTGGGAGTGAACAGTAACAACATCGCCTTACCTCGCTGGGGCTCGCCTGAGTCTTCGTCGGTGCGTGTCAACGCGATCACAATGAAATGCGCCGTAGCGGCAGGTGTCAGAATGTTATGTTTGTCTAGCCTGCAGTGGGGTACACAATAGTGAGTACATATAGCAATTTAGGGTTTGTTATATGTACTCAACTGCTTGCTAGTGCAACTCTCTCTCTTTCTTGTTTCTGATTTCTGCCTAGCCTTTCAACATGCTATCAGAGCAGGTCGACCCTCCTGGGTCGATCTTGTGGGTGGTCCCACCCAATGCTTCCGCTGCGGTTTCCTGCTGTCCCCTGCCTGCCGCGCGCTCCGGGCGCACGGCGATTTTTCATCCCGCCGCGCGCTCGGGGCGCGCGGCGGTTTTCTGCCCCGTCGAACCGCGCGTCGCCCCCTGTCAACCGACGCGTCGCCCCCCATCGCCCGACGCGGCCCGCGCGACCTGCGCCAGGCCCGTGCGCGGTCCGTACGGGCTGCGCCAAGCCCGCGCGCAACCCGTACGGGCAGCGCCAGGCCCGCGCGCGGCCCGGGCAGCCCGCGTGCGGTTCGTCCCGAGCTTCTGACCGTGCCCCACCCCCGCTGCTGCCCGCGCTCCTGCTCCTCCTCCTCCTCCGTCTCCCACTGCTGCAGCTGCCGCTGAGGGGGGTGGATGTGTTGGAGCCGTCGGAGTGGTACGAGGGGGGTGGCGTGTGAGCAGTGCTAGAGGTGCAGCAGGGGGTGTGTGACACGGGTGTGGGACAGTTGGGGGAGGTTGACCGGAGGTAGCCGACTTGTCGTCCGCAGCGCCTGAAGTCCAGGGAGCCACGACCCCCTGTGGCCTGAGTAGTCCGGGGCTCTGCGCCCGGTAGCCACAGTGTGAGCACTCCTGGTAGTCCAGAGAGCCACGACCCCCTGTGGCCTGAGTAGTCCGGGGCTCTGCGCCCGGTAGCTACAGTGTGAGCACTCCTGGGAGCACAGTGAGCCAGCTGCGTCTGTCGCCGTGTAGTCCGAGTTTATCCTGGTAGCGACAGTGCTGCGCACTCCTGCTGCCCGTGTGTCTGCAGCTTCAGCCGTCGCCTCCCATCTTTTCGCCCCCACAGTTTCTCCTCCTCCTCACTTCCCCTCTGTGATAGCCTCTAGCTTTGCTTATAATTGTGAACTACTGTTTTGCTTGCTTGTTGTGCTGATTACACCCCACTTTGGCTATGGGGGTGTGTCAGAATGTTATGTTTGTCTAGCCTGCAGTGGGGTACACAATAGTGAGTACATATAGCAATTTAGGGTTTGTTATATGTACTCAACTGCTTGCTAGTGCAACTCTCTCTCTTTCTTGTTTCTGATTTCTGCCTAGCCTTTCAACAGCAGGAGCTGACGTGTATGCGGTGTCAAATTATAAGTTTACTGCTATCTAGGCTGTAGTGGGTTTAGCCTTAGGGGGTACCGTAAATTGCTCGATACTTCATTGTATCCCCCTCCTTGCCCTAATCCACATCATTCCTTCTCAAACTCTCTCGACATTGAACCCTAGCATGGTTCCTACACTCACTATAGCTACTATTTCAACATGCGGTTGACATTCGGGAAGCCGATGCAGCAGACAAAAGGGGGGGGGTTACAGAAACTGCTCGCCGACATAGCGGATGACTTGGCAGCGCTATTGAAGTAGTACAGTGGGATTTTTCCAGACGATCTGCCGACACGACTGCCACCTTAGCGACCGCACGACCACATGATAGAACTAGAACCGGGAGCACCATGTGAAGAAATGAGGAGTGGATTGACTAAGGGAAAGTTGGGTACAAAAGCAAACCCTAGAAAACTGTACCCCATATGTGCTACCCCACTATAGCCTACAGTAGCTATGTCATATAAATCTGACACACCCCCATAGGCAAAGTGGGGGAGAACAAGGGGTCACAAGACCAGTCAAGCAAAGCAAAGCAAGCTCAGGGTGGATCACAAAGTCACCACACATTCCGAGCACAAGTTCAAGGCCACAAGGCCAGTTCACATGCAGGATTACATGTATATATAAGGCTAGACAAGCAAGAGCAGGTGTATATATATATGCAACAGTACAAACAAGGTCAAGGGGTGAGCAAGTGAGGCAAGGTAGGCACAAGACCCAGCTGAGTACAGAAGCCCTGATGATCACAAGGCGCAAGTGCCTTGGTGAAGATATCAGCAGTGTTGGCCTCAGAGGCCACGTACGCAAGCCGTAGCTGACCACGCTGCTGTAGCTCACGAGCAAGGAAGTAGCGGAGAGCGATGTGCTTCGTTCTGTGCTCCAGTCTCTGCTCTCGACACAAGGCCAGCATGGCCTTGTTGTCTACGTACAGCACTGGAGGAGAACGAGGCGGCTCTCCGAGGTCAGTCAGCAGGTAGGTGAGCCAGCGAAGCTCCTGTGCAGCCATGGCCCCGGCGTAGATCTCAGCCTCACAACTGGAGCCGAGAACAGAAGACGAGCGGGTAGCCCGCCACGAAACAGAGCCGGAACCAAGGCTGAAGGTGTAACCCTGTGACGACCGCTGCGTAGCCTGGTCGTCAGCCCAAGAAGCGTCTGCGTGCCCAGTGAGGACCACTGGACTCTGCCCTCCAAGCACAAGCCCCATGCCCGACGTACTGCACAAGTAGCGCAACACCCTCTTCGCTGCAGCCATGTGCTCCGGTCTGTGTCTCCCAGGAGCAACATAGCGTGCGAGAATGCTAAGAGGGTATGCAAGGTCAGGTCGTGTGCAGGTCATCAGGTACATGAGGCAGCCAACAAGCTCTGGGTACGGGCCACTTGACTCTACGGACTCATCCGAAGGCAGAGCTGAGAGCGAGTGGCGAGTAGGCAGAGGAGTGGCCTGAGGCGAGGAGTACGTGAAGCCGAAGCGCTGAAGGACCTGCTGCACCATGTGTGACTGAGTCAGGGTAATGGTGCGGCGTGCTCTGTCCCGGGTGATCTGCAAGCCAAGGTAGCTGCGCAGTTCACCCAGGTCTGTGCACGT